GCCAGCCTAGTTTAGATAGGGCACCATATATCTGTCTGTGTTGCCATAGTAATGCCAGGGGTAGGTGTGACGTGGGTGGATGTGGAATTTTATGCTTTTACCTATATCTTGTAATTTCCCATGAATTTCTTCAGTCCTAACAACAGCTCTTGAACTCATAGCATCATATCTCTAATAAAGCATTACACTGCCAATAGTGTCTGTGGAGACTGAATTAGCTGGGGTCCTGACAGGCTATAATGGAGAATCACCCTGGGGGTATCTGAGGCTTGGGGGGGGGTGTTTTTTGAGGCACCAGCACCTATGCTGCAAATTTGGTGCCTCTCCTCAAAGTTTCAATTGTGGTGCCCCCCCCCCCAGTTTTAAAAGGATTGGACCAGGGGGTCCAATTCTATGGGCCCCAGAATGACGTGCCGCCATCCTCCATTGTTTCCAATGGAGGGGGAAATGCCTTCTGGGCTGAACCTGTGCTGCCTGTTACAATTTTGTGCACCAGCACTCCTAGCGCGGCTTAGAGGGAACTATGCATCCCGAGCATACATACCATTTTGTACATTGGAAAACTTGGTTGAAGCAGAGTAATTTTTCTGTAGCGGAAAAGCCTACAGAAAAGGGGCAAAGGATAAAATTTCGGTAGGGGCAGAGAGAATAAAATTCTGTCTTGGTGGCCACCATATCTTCCAACCATAACTGACTCCGGTTTAATTTCAAAATGGATTTGCAAGACAGTAGGAAGGCATCTACAGATCAGAGCTGATTATCTCTGGGGGGGGGGTAGGAGGGTAAGTTACAGTCGCAGTGACAATTTCCGTGGTGGCCTTGGCTTAGTAAGCAACCTGTGCGTTTGGGACTGGTGAAAAGGTCATTTTTGTACAGATAGAGCGGTGGTCTAGTTAATGGATAACTCTCCAAATTATTGTTTTTTAACAGTTGCTATGGTGAACAGTATCTCTGCAGCCAGGGAGTGGCGCTCACCAACTGGGCCATGTGGGAGAATATTGTCGCCCTCGTCTGCATGACAGTCATATTCCTCACGATAGCGTATGCCAAACTCCGGTTCATGAAAAAGTTCACCTGATCCTCCTCCTTCACCTGGTGTTCAAGAAGTCACACCTTCGCAGATCCAACAGATGAGCTGTTTTCTCCACCCAGTTTGGAGGGTGGCATTGGCCCCGCCGCTGTTGACATTCCATGCTGGGGAGATTGCTTTTGATGGAACATTTTGCCCGGGTCCAGTGCCAATTACCTCTTCACCTAGTGATCAGTTCCAGCTTTCTAAACATCTTACATTGACTATTTTGCTGGTCAGAGGGAATACACCTTTGGAACATGGCTTCTGCTTTGATCGTTAAAACCACTGCCTGTCTGAACCTGGATTTCACTCTGCAGCCGTTATATTTTCCAAGTAAGCGTATCACAACGAATCTGACTTGCAGGCATCAATAAGAGTGGAAGTCGATGACCCTACGTTTGAGCAACTCTTGAAACAACTATTGTCATACACTCGCCCGTGATTTCGGTTGGACTGTGGCCTGTATCTTTTCAAACTAATATTTTACTTATTTTACTGAGAGCCAGTATGCCGTAGTGGTTAAGAGCGCGGACTCTAATCTGGGAGAACCGAATTCGATTCCCCACTCCTCCACATGCAGCTGCTGGTGTGACCTTGGGTCAGTCACAAGGTCTTTTGGAGCTGCTCTCTCAGGGGCAGTCCTCGAACGAGCTCTCTCAGCCCCGCCTACCTCACAGGGTGTCTGTTGTGGGCAGTGTTCCCTCTAAACTAAGTTAGTGTGAGCTAGCTCACAGTTTTTTAGCCTCTGGCTCACACATTACTGTTTTAGCTCAGGAAGGATGGTTCCAGAGCAGGCTAATTTATGCAGTAGCCAAATTGCTCGCTCACCACTTTAATGCCAGTAGCTCACAAAGTAGAATTTTTGCTCTCAAGACTCCACAGCTTAGAGGGAACATTGGTTGTGGGGAGGGGACGGAAAAGGAGATTGTATGCTACTCTGAGACTCTTAGTGAAGGGCAGGGTATAAATCCAATCTCTTCCTCTTCCTCTTCTTCTGTTGGATTCAAATCCTGTCTTGAAGCTCTCAGGGGATGAAGCCCAAATCCATCTTTGTGCTACTGATGGAAATGTCCTTAAATCATGTGCTAATAACCGAGAAAGGATCTCGTGCTTTAAGATACATGATCTTTGTAATAATTATTTCCATGTTTAAGTATATATTGGTTCCAAAAATCTAAAAAAATTAAACTGAAATCTTAATATTTATTTATTTATTTATTTCACTTTTTCCCCGCCCTCCCCGCCAGGCAGGTTCAGGGCGGCTTCCAAAAACTGACAAGCAGTATACATTCACAATAAAAAATACAAGACATCAGTTAAAATAAACTGTTTATTCACAGGTAAGGAGCGGCTGAATGACCTCACACACAAACAGGCCACTATTTGTCACAAGATGCCCATTTGTAGTAGGAGCTGTGGTGGCTCAAGTGGTTAAGACGCTGAACTGCAGGCTGTAGAAGGTCGGTAGTTCAGCAGTTCAAGACCCGAGTGTGCCGGAGTGAGCTCCCGTCTCTAGTTCCAGCTTCTGCCAACCTAGCTGTTTGAAAGCAAGACATTGCAAGTAGATAAACAGGTACCACTTCAGTGGGAAGGTAACAGCGTTCCGTGCGCCTCGGTGTTTAGTCATGCTGGCCACATGACCACGGAAACGTCTTCGGACAGTGCTGGCTCTTCGGCTTGGAAACAGAGATGAGCACCACAACCCTAGAATCGGATTCAACTGGCTTTCGAGCAAGGGAACCTTTACCTTTACCCATTTGTAACGGCAAGACGTCCAACCGTATGGTCACCTGGGAGTATTTAAATTACATACACCCTCCTCCCTGCTCCTCCTGTGAAACAGGTTAGGCTGAGGCACAGCAACTGCCCCAAGGCCACCCAGTGGCCAAGGAGGAGGCTGGAACCCAAGACTCCACGGTTCTACACATGAACATGAGAAGATGCCACTTTAGGATTGCCAGCTGATGGCTGGCAACCAGTGGGGGAGGCACAGGAATGCTGCAGCACAGTGTCGCTTCCTGTATTTGCCATAGGGGGGAATTTCACATTACCCAGTTTCACCTGGTTTCAGGCCGGTAATGATCCGTTTTGAAGTGAACCGGTATAGGGCTGCCATTTCACACATGGCTTTCCCCTTCCGGTAAAGAGCTGGATCTGAAGCGGTTTGCCATTTCAGACTGCACCACTTTCCCCCGCTTTCCCCCCGCCGTTTTTCGCCCCTGCGGGCGATCGCCGGCTTTTTTTTTTTAACGTTCGCTTTAGAGCGCTATAGCAGTATTAAAAAACACTCCATGCATTCCAATGGGATTGATATAATGCTATTCCGTTATAGCGCTATAACGCTATAAAGCAAACGTTCAAAAAAAAAAGGCCGGAGATCGCCCGCGCGGGCGGAAAACGGCGGGGGAAAGCGCATCGGAACCGGGAGAGGAAAATGAGGAGGACTTGGAAGCGGTTGACAGGTAAAACGCTTCAGCCCTGTTTCCTAAACGGGACAGAAGCGATTGTGTATGAAATGACAAATATATTCCGGAAGGGAACTGGTTCTCAAACGGTTCTGTCTGAAATGACAGACCAGAAACCGTTTGGGAACCGTTCCTCTTCCGGAATATATCGCCTGTCTGAAATTCCTCAGGGTTTTGCCCATATACTCACACTGGCATCAGAACATCAGTTCCGGGCCTTTGCAGGAAGTGATATCATGTCACTGGCGTGATTTTTGAAAGCGCTGAGCAGTGAGTGGCAGGTCTCTCCCTGAAGCTGGAGAGCTGGTTTCCCTGCCTGACTCAGACCCGAGGTTGCCAGCCTCCAGGTGAGGGCTGGACTTCTCCTGGGATTTACAGCTAATCATGTCCAGTCTGCAAAGATCAGTTCCCCTGAAGAAAATGGCAGCTTCGGAGAGCAAACTCTATTAGTATACCCAGGGGTCATTTCTTAGGAAAAGAGTTGCAGGAGCTCATTAGCATAACTTATTTGCATATGCCACGCCCCCTGACATCACCGGACGTGTGTCAGAAGGCAACACCCACCGCTCAGGCTCCACTGGACTGTTTTGGATTGCTAGCTATTGGAGGGGGGGGGGATGTGCAGATCTGACCTCGCAGAGGGAGAGCTCGTACCTGAATAAAACTTGGTCTTAAAGGTGCCACTGGACTGTTTTGGACTGGAGGGGGGCAGGGGTGGGCTCTGCAGCTTACCTGGCTGCTTCTTGCTCTGACTGAGGGCTGCTGGGAGCAGGGGGCGGGGCTTGTTGCATGTGCCCGCCCCCTGGGCTCTTTACTGCCGGAGCTCCGCTCCTGTGCGCTCCTGCAGGAAATGACCCCTGAGTATACCATAGATTCTAGCTGAAAACCCTCCCCAGATTCCCCCTCCCCCGGCCTCCAGTGAGGGAGGGGTATAAAGCTGCCAGACCCAGGCTGGGGGACTCCTGGAGATTTGGGGATGGAACCTGAGGTGGACAGTAGACCTCAGTGGGGTCCAGTGCCACGGAGTTCACCCTCTGAAGCAGCCATTCTCTCTGGGGGAACTGATCTCAGTAGTCGGGAGAGGAGCTATGATTCCCGGGTCCCACCTGGAGGCCGGCATCCTTAAACACACACACACCCCAATTCCAAGTATTGCCCAGGATGGAGTTAGCAACCTATTCAGTCCCTTCGTCTATCAAGGCGTCTGCTCTGTTTTCAGGAGCTTTTGGCGTCTCGGGCAGAGGTCTTTCCCATTCCTACTACGTGGTATGTATTTTTTTGTTGGAGATGCCAGGGATTGAACCCGGGACCTTCTACATGCAAAGTGAACAGCTACTGCTGACTGATCTAGGGTTGCCAACTCTGGCTCAGGAGATTCCTGGACACACTGGGGGGGGTGCTTGGGGAGTGTGGACTTTGAGAGGGAAGAGTTTGGCTGGAATGTGATGCCACATTCTGAAGCTTCCATTTCCTCCGGGCCTGCTTCCCGTTCGTCTGCTTATGGCAGGAAACCTTCAGGCCGTTGCAGCCTTGACCACCAATGCTCAATTGATTCGACAGGTGGAAACTGGGAGCAAAGACAGAGGACTGTCCTAAGGGAGAAACTTAAAAAAGAAATGTAAGGCCTCATCTACGTACACAGAGTGCCTGACATTTCTAGAGCGGCCCAGAAGTGACAAGGAGAGCTCTCTGGGAACTGCCAGAAATAAGAGCATAAGAGAAGCCAATGTTGGATCAGGCCAAAGGCCCATCCCGTCCAACACTCTGGGTCACACAGTGGCCAGAAATACCAGGTGCCATCAGGAGGTCCACCAGCAAGGCCAGGACATTAGAAGCCCTCCCACTATTGACCCCCCCAAGCACCAAGAAGACAGAGCATCCCTTGCCCCAGAGCCCCTATCTGTACCTTCTGGCTAATAGCCACTGATGGACCTCTGCTCCATATGCCTATCTAATTCCCTTTTGAAGCCGTCCATGCTTGTAGCTGCCACCACTTCCTGTGGCAGTGAATTCCAAGTGTTATATGATACGTATAAGAACATAAGAGAAGCCAATGTTGAATCAGGCCAAAGCCAATGTTGGATCAGGCCAAAGGCCCATCCAGTCCAACACTCTGTATCCCACAGTGGCCAGAAATACCAGTGCCATCAGGAGGTCCACCAGTGGGGCCAGGACATTAGAAGCCATCCCACTGTTGACTCCCCCAAGCACCAAGAATACAGAGCATCACTTGCCCCAGAGTCCCTATCTATACCTTGTGGCTAATAGCCACTGATGGACCTCTGCTCCATATGCTTATCTAATTCCCTTTTGAAGCCGTCCATGCTTGTAGCTGCCACCACTTCCTGTGGCAGTGAATTCCAAGTGTTATATGATACGTATAAGAACATAAGAGAAGCCAATGTTGAATCAGGCCAAAGGTCCATCCAGTCCAACACTCTGTCTCACACAGTGTCCGGAAATACCAGGGGCCATCAGGAGGTCCAGCAGTGGGGCTAGGACACCAGAAGCCCTCCCACTGTTGACCTCCCCCAAGCATCAAGATGACAGAGCATCACTTGCCCCAGAGCCCCTATCTATACCTTGTGGCTAATAGCCACTGATGGACCTCTGCTCCATATGCCTATCTAATTCCCTTTTGAAGCCGTCCATGCTTGTAGCCACCACCACTTCCTGTGGCAGTGAATTCCATGTGTTAATCACTCTTTGGGTGAAGAAGTACTTCCTTTTATCCGTTCTAAATCAGAGACTCCTCTTCTACCCGAGGCCGCCTGGCAACCCTGCCTCCGGGTGACCTGTTTTCCGTGGCCTGGATATCCGTCAATCGTTTATTTCGACACAAAATCCACTCTGAAGAATCAGCGATAATAATAAAAAGAAATGGAAATAAAGAAATACATTTTATTTTGCTTATTAATTAGATTTCTAGGCCGTCCTCCTCCATGGGCAGGGCCCAGGGCGGCTTACAACAGGAATATACAATAAATATGTAAGTTAATTTTTTTAAAAAAAACCAACAAGAAAAAACACAGTCCTTAATAAAACAGTAAGTGGCACATGCAGTGCCAACGGGGACTTAACACTGACCAGAAATGATGGCGTGGCAAAGAGGTACTTTCCTCCGACTGGGAGGCTGTTTCTTCAGTCAGGGGTTTGCGTATCCCCATGCACCCGAAGGCAAAATTCCACAACTTTATTAGTGGTCTCCTGGGAAAAGCCTGCAAAGAGGGAGACATAGAGTTGTTCCGATCTTCCTGGTAAAGTTGACAGAATCGGAGCTATATCTTGAGATCGGATATTGTCGTGTGTTCGATAAGACTCTACTTTCTCTGCGTGGCGTGGGCAGAGCCGTTGAGAAAGCGGGGCGTGGTGGTAACTGCCTTCCAGGAGGGTGGAGGGTAGAACGTTAAAGCGTGCAAGGGTAAAGATTCTCCGATATTTGGAGATCAGGAGGGATCTGAGGTAATCCGCTGGATGAAAGCATTTTGAAAAGTACGCAGACAGATGAGTGATTTCAGCTAATGTACTTTATTTAGTGCAGAACAAGACAACCTTAGCCGGCTCGCAGGCCGGCTTATATTCCCCGTGAAATCACCACCCAAAACACACACCCACATCCCAATAGGTTATTTACAGTGGCCGAGAGTTCCATAGGCTCTCGGCCAGGAACCTAGCCCTCAGATAGGCACAGGCTAGGATCCGCTTAGTCCATTGTTTCCCTGAGCGAAGCTCAACGTTTGCACTTGACCGCGTGGAGACCAAGCCGGCCACACGTCTGTACCTGGATACATTACACATTTAGTATACTGGAGAATAATTGGATGGTTCCGTGTCTGTGTGCCGTCCAGTTGCAGAGCTCAATCCCAGAGATGCTGCTTAACTGTTTCTTTTGCTTTTTGGTGCCCAAAGACACAATAAGACTTGGGGGGGGGGGGCAACCTCCCGGAGTTTTCCCTGTACTGCTCTTTGCCAGGCTGACCGGCAGCTATCTTCAAGGATCAAGGGAGCGCCAGGCCCACCGGACTGAAGACAAGTTTTAACCAGTAGGTGGCTGCAAAGATCATCGCAGTCTCTATTCTAATGCTGCTGATTCTGCACTGGCTTTTCCCTCCGTTGTTTTACGAAACCCACCTTGGAACGGAAATTCCACTCTGCATTGCATGCCGCTCTCCCTTTCTTTGATCGTTGGATTTTATGGTACCTTCTGCATCGATTTGTGGCTGTTTTATGGCCGTTCAGGGGTGACTTTGCAGCCAGTACTGTGTCGGCCTGGGATACTTGAATGTGGTTTTGAGCTGCACTTTTTCCTCCAGTCGAGAAAATGTGGAGTGAGTGCTAGATGCAGGATCGCCCTAAAGCAGGGGTGTCAGACATGTGGCCCAGGGTCCAGACCTGGCCCATCCAAAGCCCTTATCTAGCCCACGAGCAAGTGGTGAAAGCAGGGCCGGCTCACCCACTAGGCGAACTAGGCATTCGCCTAGAGCGCTGGGCCCTGGATGGGATGCCAAGCTGTGCCTCCCCCCCTCCTCTGGTGGTGGTGGCAGCAGGGGGGAGGAGGCGGTGGTGGCAGCAGCAAAAGGGTGGCTGGCTCCAGAGGTGTCCAGGCCCCACCAGGAGGTTGGCATCTGCGCCATAAGGCAGCCTCGCCTAGGGCGCAGAAACACCTCAAGCCGGCCCTGGGTGAAAGGGAGGGAGGGCAGGAGGCTGCTTGTGGGGGGGGGGAGCGGGCGCACACAGTGAAGTGTGTGTGTGGTCAAAAGCTGTCAAGAAATGAAAGGAAATGGCTAGGGGGTGGGTACGGTATCCCTTGGGGAAAAGCTAGTCTTGCATAAGATTAAATACATCTGGGGGGGCCTTTGTGGATTCCCCAGTAAATCAACTGCTTTCACTCCTAGGACTCAATTGCTTTTGTTTGTATTTTGAGTCAAAATAATATTGTTACTTGTGTCTGCCTGTGTCATATATAAAGTTTATATCTCCGGTACCAGGCATTTCATTTTGTGGCAGACATGGCCCGGCCCAACAAAGTACCTTTTATTTCATATCTGGCCCTCGTAACACATGAGTTTGACACCTTTGCCCTAAGCACTGCATTCGAGAGGCACTGAGGGATGGGATATATAGGTCCTCTCCGCATTGGCCTGCCACTTTGGATTTTCTCAAATGTTTGAGTCGAGGCAATTTAAGACCACAGCAAAACAGCCTCCAATTAACCCAGGGCAACAGGAGGCTGATACTCTGGGCTGACCACTGAAGGGGGGTAATGTGATGCAGAACCAGGGGGAAATAGGGTTGCCAAACCCCCCGGTTTGCCAGGGGTCCCCCCTCCTTTTGGGGGGGTTCTACTCGCTGCCAGACAGATGGCTGGCGGGGGAAGCCCCACCCCCAACACCCACAGCCACCCCTCTCTCTCCCTTTAAGTGTGTGGAACCCGTGTTTCCTCCCAAGCCCGATCTCCGCTTGAGATCAGGCTTGCGGGGAAATGCCAGCTTCGTGCTCTTAAAAGGGAAAAGCGGCTGCTCTTAAAGGGGAAACGCTGGTTCCTGCACTTAAAAGGGAAACGCCGGCTCCTTTAACTGCAACGAACTGCCATTTCTGGAGATCCAGCGCACGGGCGGGGGGGGCCGCGGACGTCTCCAACGTGATGTCATCATGGTGGGGATGCCCCGCCCCCTCCAGGAATTCCCCCAAAGTCACCCCCAAAGTCCCCCACTGGGGGTGGAAGATGGACTTGGCAACCCTAGGGGGAAACCTGGAATAAAAAGAAGGCTGGACTCGATTTTAGTGCAAAATTGGGGGGTGGGGGACCTGGGTTAAAAGGAAGGTTGGATTTGATTTTCGTGCAGAATTGCTTGGAGGACACCACGGTGAACGTGGGTTAAAAGGGAAGTGCAGAAAGGGCCACTATTACAGGAGACCTCCAGGCTGTTTCACCCGCCAGTGGACGGGGAGATCTGGCAACCCTACTCCACCTGGAGGGTGGCAACCCAGCCTGTGGCCCCTCTTCTCCTAAAGTTCCATGTCCCACGATGCTAAGCATGATGTCCTTCTCGCTGTCTTCTCAGAGCTTCTCAGATGGGGCTGCCAGCTCTGGGTTGGGGAATACCTGGAGGTTTTGGGGGTGGAGCCTGGGGAAGGTGGGGTTTGGGGAGGGGAGGGGCCTCAGTGGAGGTCCCATGCCACAGACTCCGTCCTCCACAGCTGCCGCGTTCTCCAGGGGAACAGATCTTGGTCATCTGGAGGTCAATTGTAACAGTGGAAGCCTACTCTCAGGTGCAGTTGTACATCCGATCCTCCTTACAGGCCTCTTTAGTCTTCTCAGTCCAAAATATGCCCAGACCTGGCTGCTGCATCCTTCTGAAGGACTAAGCATCAAAATCAGACCAGTGAGGAGAGCTTTCTGAGAAAGCACAAATCGGAAGAATTTCCATTAAAAATCCCAATCACCTAAACAGAGTGAGATCAGATTTAACATATATATTTCATAAGCAAAAATTTTAAAGCGCCTCATGTTAATTTTATGCTCCAATAGCCAACATTTGATAAAATAAATGTGTAGGTTAAATACTATATACAAACCAATTAAACCAAACCTTAATGTGGGTCCAGGGGCACTCTTAAGGCCAAGAAAGTTTAATTCTGGGTATAAGATTTCGTGTGCATGCACACAAAAGCTTGTAACTAGAATTAAAGTTTGTTGCATGCACAGGAAAGCGTATACCCACTTTCTTGGTCTTAAAGGTGTGCATGCACACGAAAGATTATACCCATAACTGAAGTTTGTTGCATGCACACTAAAGCTTGTACCCAGAATTAAACTTGGTTGCATGCACACGAAAGCTCATATCCAGCATTAAACTTCCTTGGTCTTAAAGGTGTGCATTGCACACAAAAGCTTATACCCAGAATTAAACTTGGTTGCATTGCACACAAAGAGCTTATATCCAGCATTAAACTTCCTTGGTCTTAAAGGTGTGCATTGCACATAAAAGCTTATTTGTTGTTGTTGTTCAGTCGCACAGCCGAGTCCGACTCTCCGCGACCCCATGGACCAGATCCCACCAGGCCTTCCGGTCTTCCGCCGTCCTCTAAAGTTGGCTCAATTTCATGTTCGTTGCATCTATGACACTGTCTAACCATCTCATCCTTTGCCGTCCCCGTCTTCTTTGACCTTATACCCAGAATTAAACTTGGTTGCATTGCACACAAAAACTTATACTCAGAATTAAACTTCTTGGCCTTAAAACTGTGCGTGCACACAAAATCTTATACTCAAAATTAAACTTCCTTGGGCCTAAAGGTGCCCCTGGACTCAAAGGATGTCCTGCTGCTTCAGACCAACACGACCACCCCAGGAGACTCCTCTGCAAGGCTGTCGTGGAGGCCGACACCCCCTCCTTCCAGCCACAGCCCCACTCCCCATCATTGGGTAGGGCGGGATATAAATCCCAAGAATAAATAAATAAATAAAGTAAATAAATTTGAGGCAATCTCCCTCAGCATCTTCACCCCTCGGCAACAAAGAGTAACAACCTTTTCCTCCTCTTTTCCCACCACCGACGAAGGGAGGCCCGAGAGGGACGTCCAAAAACGCCCGGAAGTCTTCGGTGCAGAGAGAGCGCTCGGGCTTCTTCAGCCTCCGCGGCCACGCCCCCGCGGCCAATCGCCCGGCGGGTTGCTCCGCACGCACGCGCAGTAGGCGTGCGTCGGCGCGTCAGAGCGCGATGGCGCGGGGCACCCGGAAGTAGCGCCGTTCTCTGGCGGTGGGGGCTGGTCGTCATGGCGACGGCGGCGACGGCGGCTGCGGCGGCGCCCGCCGAGGAGGCCGCAGAGACCCGGCCGCAGGGCGCCAAGCGTAAGGAGAAGAAGGGCTCGCCGGCCGGGGCGGCGGGGACGGCCGGGGCGGGAGCCTCCTCTCCCTCTGCGCGGGGGTGTCGCTTTTGGGGGGGGGGGGGGGGGACCCGTTCAGGCCGCGGGAGAGAGGCCGGTCCGCCGTGTGTGGAAACACCCTCCCCCCCCCCGACGCGTGAAAAGTGCAGCGCGCGCCTCTGTTTCAAGAAGTGCGCGTGCGCGCGCGGTGTATCCAGGGTTGCCAACAGGCCTGGAGGAGAAGGTTCCCGCCCGCCCCTTCCAGTGGAGTCTTGATGTGGGGGGGGGAACTGGGCCTCTGGAGCTCTTCGGGCGGCATGAAGCGGGATGGCGTGGCCCGCTCTTAAGTGACCAGCCCCCTGGGCCGCTGCTCAAGGGACGGGGCAGGTTTCCAATCCCGCCAGGCTGTTGGCAACCCGACCAGGCGCCTGTGCTTGTGGACTTTGGGGCTCTGACTGTCAAAAGCGGGTCATTTTTGTTCCAAACTCTTTTCCCCCCCTGGTTTTGTGGGTAAAGGTAAAGGTAAAGGTTCCCTTGCTCGAAAGCCAGTCGAGTCCGACTCTAGGGTTGCGGTGCTCATCTCCGTTTCCAAGCCGAAGAGCCAGCGCTGTCCGAAGACGTTTCCGTGGTCATGTGGCCGGCATGACTAAACACCGAGGCGCACGGAACGCTGTTACCTTCCCACCGAAGTGGTCCCTATTTATCTACTTGCAATTTCTTGCTTTCGAACTGCTAGGTTGGCAGGAGCTGGAACTAGAGACGGGAGCTCACCCTGTCTTGCGGCACCCGGGTCTTGAACCGCTGAACTACCGACCTTGCACAGCCTGCAGTTCAGCGTCTTAACCACTTGAGCCACCGCAGCTCCTGGTTTTGTGGGTACCAGGGGTCATTTCGTAGGAAAAGAGGTGCAGGAGCTCATTAGCATAACTCATTTGCATATGCCACACCCCCTGATGTCACCGGAAGTGTGTCAGAAGGCAACACCCACCGCTCAGGCTCCACTGGACTGTTTTGGATGGCTAGCTATTGGGGGTGGGGGGCGAAGCACAGATCTGTCCTCAAAGAGGAGGGAGAGCTTGTACCTGAAGGCGGGCGGGGGGGCTCTGCAAGTTATCTGGCTGCTTCTTGCTCTGACTGAGGGCTGCTAGGAGCAGGGGGCGGGGCTTGTTGCATGTGCCCGCCCCCCTGGGCTCCTTACTGCCGGAGCTCCGCTCCTGTGCGCTACGGCAGGAAATGACCCCTGCTTATATCAGGCGTAGATGGGCCGGTTTAAGTTCACGCAGGGAGGCCAGGCTCCCGGGTATCAGGATTGTTTTTGTCCATTGAAACTTAGGATGCTGACCTCGTCATGTTTAGGAATCGCTTCGTCCTTTTTAAGTTGCTTTGTTTTTTGTGTAAATCGGCAAACAACATCAAACATGTAGATGAAAATAAAACATGCGTTGACCAAACCGTATATATAAGTATCGGAGAATCATAATCGGAGATGTGGGGTAGAAAGCTTTCCAAAAAGGAAACAATGCTTTATTTTCCCATTTCTAAGGGTTCCTTTTTTTTCTGTAAAATTAATAACACCGAATGGAGGCCATTGCTGGTACAGTGTCGATTTGTGAGGGGAGGGTGAATAAAAACCCACATACATATAACAAACCAAATATAAAAAGCAAGTTATCCATTCACCTGAGTGGCTGGCTGTGCAGGTCAAATCAAAACCAAATTCCTAGTTCTACAGTGGAATGATATTGTAATTGCCGCTACCAAGAGGGACTCATGCATCTGATGCTACCGGCAGTCACAGTGAAACTAAATAGCTCAGCATGGGCAATGCTGTTATGACATTTAATATTGGTAGTCGTTAAGGTATTACCCACTTTCCCCTTGGAATTGTAACAGCATAATTGAGCGATATTAATTCTAGAATACTGAAAGGACAAGATGCTTCAAACTTTTCCCCAAATTTTTTGCATATGAGGAATGGTCTCGTTCACAGCTCCATGTGAATGTAGATCAAAAGACTCTGTAACGTAACTTTTCTCTCTCTTTTATTTGATACTGACAAACCTGCACAGAGGATCCTGCCATTGAGACAGCAGAAGAAGCAACTGAACCTGCAGAGGCAGATATCAATGAACTTTGTAAGGATATGTTCAACAAAATGGCCATTTACCTCACAGGTGAACTGACAGGTAAGCTTATGGGAAGCCGAAACAAAGGCCTCCTCTACCTAGGAGCACTTCCGACCTCTATAGGAGTTCACTCAAAATCCTGTGTCTTCCTTGGGTGTTTGCCCCCCTCCTCTGGTGACATCCGCTTTTAACAGAAGAGGGGAGTTTTCCAGTTAGCTGACCCATGAGCGGTCTTAGCTAGAAATAAACCACCAACACTCAGTTTTCACATGGCTGCCCTTTCTCAGGGATTTGTGTCTGCGAATTGCTTAGGGTAAATCAGAAGATGCTTGCTGGAGCTGTCGTGGATCTTTCAGGCCTGCTGTCATGAGTGACTGTGCAAGCCGCTAGCTGAGACAGCAGCCCTGGTACTTAACCGTGATGAAAACTGTGTCATGTAAATGCCTCTCTGTCGGCATTTATAGCTGAGACAGCAGCCCTGGTACTTAACCTTGATGAAAACTGTGTCATGTCAATGCCTCTCTCTCTAAGTCGTAATTTCTTCTTCTTTCTTTCTGCCCTCCCCTTCCCCTTTTTTAAAGCCACCAGTGAAGACTACAGACTCCTGGAAAACATGAACAAGCTCACGAGTTTGAAATACCTGGAAATGAAAGATATCGCTATAAACATCAGCAGAAACCTGAAAGACTTGAATCAGAAATGTAAGGCGAGAGAGAGCGACTCAGTCATTTGAATCTGACCCATGTTTTTTTGGTTTGCACCTAACCCTCAGTCTGCCACAAGACTCTGTTAGCACATTGTGCCATGTACCAAGGAAGCCTCGTGCCCTGGTGTCAGGCCTGTGGGCCCCGCCGGGGTGTTCTTGGGTGGCTTCCTGCAGCGGCCAAAGAGGCAAGAAGGCCCCTTTGAGGAAGAAGAGGCTGGAAAGGAAGCTCTGGCGAGGCATGTGGTTAGAGAGCCAGTTTGGTGTAGTGGTTAAGTGTGCGGACTCTAATCTGGGAGAACCGGGTTTGATTCCCCACTCCTCCACTTGCAGCTGCTGGTGTGACCTTGGGTCAGTCACAAGCTCTGGCACAGCTGTCCTTGAAAAAGAGCCATTTGTGTCAGAGCTCTCTCAGCCCCACCCACCTCACAGGGTGTCTGTTGTGGGGAGGGGAAGGGAAAGGAGTTTGTAAGCCGCTCTGAGACTCCAAGTGAAGGGCGGGGTATAAATCCAATCTCTTCTTCTTCTTTTTCTTCTTGTGTCCTCTGTCAAGGGATTCCCCCAGCTGGGCACACCACTGTGCATCCAGGCCTTGTTCACTTGCATAGTTTTTAACTGTTATAATTTCTCTGTCAACTTTAGGGTGTCCCTCCCAGTTTGTATGTCCTCCACCCCTTCCTTGTAGCTATTTAAAACCAGTCGATGATGTAGGATCATAAGAACACAAGAGAGGCCAATGTTGGATCAGGCCAAAGGCCCATCCAGTCCAACACTCTGTGTCACACAGTGGCCAGAAATACCAGGGGCCATCAGGAGGTCCAGCAGTGGGGCCAGGAGGACACTAGAAGCCCTCCCACTGTTGACCCCCCCCCCAAGCACCAAGAAGACAGAGCATCCCTTGCCCCAGAGCCCCTATCTATACCTTGTGGCTCATAGCCACTGATGGACCTCTGCTCCATATGCTTATCTAATTCCCTCTTGAAGCCGTCCGTGCTTGTAGCCGCCACCACTTCCTGTGGCAGTGAATTCCATGTGTTCATCACTCTTTGGGTGAAGAAGGACTTCCTTTTATCCGTTCTAACCCGACCGCTCAGCAATTTCATGGAGTGCCCACGAGGATCCGACCCATAAACTCTCCACGCTCTCCCAGGCTCCTGTGGGGTGCTTGCTCCCCGCCCCCTGCAAGACTTCTGAAACTTCTCAGCTTTCTCAGCACAGGGTCTAGGGCTGTAGAGAGGCCATAGCTTTGTTTACAGAAAATCTTGGGATCAGTATCTGGTGCCTAAAGTTACTGGGCCTCCAGGAACAGAGCGAGAAAAGATCATGGAGAGCTGATGCCAGTACAAAGCTGGCTAAATATGTAAGAAACAGACTGGCATCAAAGACGCTAGATATAGTCAATCATCATGTCAGTATATAATTAATCACAAAGTGAAACTGTGACATTATTAGTAGTAATATTCTTTATTGTCATTGTACATAGTACAACGAAATTAAGATGCAATCATTTCAGTGATTTACAACAATATTCATATACACTCACACAGCCATTCACAACTATCTCATAACTCCCTTAAGGTTCACATAGCAACTTAAAACCACTAATGTCACCCAAATTCCAATTTCATACAGCATTTAAGGCAGTAATAGCTCTCGAATAAAAACTATTTTTAATCTGTTTATCCTTGTTTTAATTGTCCTATATCTTGTTTTATTTGTCCTATATCTATTTTTTAATCTGTTTGTCCTTGTTTTAATTGTCCTATATGTAACAGTAAATACAATTAATAAACATTCATGGAACAATTGTAATTATAAGAATACATGAAGTAATTTTGATGGTTACAAAGTGATCGCTGCTGACGAGAACCTCCGGATTAAGTTCCGTTCCGTCTCTTCGTCTGAACAAGCCTTCAATATAAAACAATTTGCGCACATCAACATTAATATGTTTTTCAAAGTTTTTTAGAGTTTTCTAAAAAAAATTCTGTACAATTTTTTTTTTTTGCAAAATTTACAGAAAAAAGATCCATGGTTAAATACCTTCAATAAGGGTTTCAAACAGTCAGCAGCAATCACTTTGTAACAATCAAAATAACTTCATGTATTCTTATAATTACAGTTGTTCCATGAATGTTTATTAATTGTATTTACCGTCACAATAATGTCACAGTTTCACTTTGTGATTAATTATATACTGACATGATGATTGACTATATCTAGCGTCTTTGATGCCAGTCTGTTTGTTCCATATTTAGCCAGCTTTGGACTGGATTCTCCACACCCGTCTGGACAATCAGAGAGGCACGGCTGCTTGTGGTTTTGGAACTGGGACCAAGTCTGCCTCTCGATCACGTCCTTTAAAGGTTACTGACTTAAGAGGCGGAGTCAGCCGTTTGCTCTCAGTGAGGCAGAAACTCATCTCAGTCCTCCTTTGTCCCTCTTCCCTCCAGACGCCGGACTGCAGCCCTACCTGGATCAGATCAACTCGATCGAAGAGCAGGTGGCCGCTCTGGAGCAGGCGGCCTACAAGCTGGACGCGTATTCCAAAAAGCTCGGTAGTTGCTTCCGATGTTGGTGGGCGGCGCGGTGGGTCAGTTGCGTGGGGCAGGACCAGTGTTCCCTCTAAGCTGAGTTAGCGTGAGCTGGCTCGCAGTTCTTTAGCCTCCAGCGCACACATTTTTGTCTTTGCTCGGGAAGGGATGGCTCCAGAGCAAACTGATTCATGCAGTTGCCAAATCACTTGCTCACAACTTTAATGCCAGTCGCTCACAAAGTAGAATTTTTTGCTCACAAGACTCCACCGCTTAGAGGGAGCATTGGGCAGGACCTCTCGCCTTCCTATTCCCGGGCTGGTGAAGAGAAATGCAAGGGCAGGGGTCCTACAAGGAGGGTCCCGGGCAGTGTTCCCTCTAAGCCGAGTTAGTGTGAGCTGGCTCACAGTTTCTTAGCCTCTGGCTCACACATTTTTCTCTTAGCTCGGGAAGGAGGGCTCCAGAACAAACCAATTTATGCAGCAGCCAAATCGCTCGCTCACAGCTTTAATGCCAGCGGCACACAAAGTACAATTTTTGCTCACAAGACTCCACAGCTTAGAGGGAACATTGGTCCTGGGGCCGGCCATCACTCTCGTCAACCCCGCTCTCAAACTGGGGTCTCCAGCCTGACTGAGCCGGCGGGCACCTTTGGGATTCTGAGGCCGGGCGGGGGGCACCGTCACAGAACGGTGGAACCAGTCACGAAATGGCTGCTGCGGGAAGCCGGGCCGACCACAAGATGTCAGGGGGGCCGGGGTCCACGTCAGTGTTCCCTCTAAGCTGAGCTAGTGTGAGCTAGCTCACAGTTTTTTAGCCTCCAGCTCACAGATTTTTGTCCTAGCTCAGGAAGGAGGGCTCCAGAGCAAGCTAATTTATGCAGTAGTCAAATTGCTCACTCACAACTTTAATGCCAGTCGCTCACAAAGGAGAACTTTTGCTCTCAGGACTCTGCAGCTTAGAGGGAACATTGGACTCCACGTGACTCTAGTCACACCTCTTCAAGATGTCAGGCAGAAGCCCTGTCTTACAGGAGCCCGTTGAATCTGCACAGCCCACCAGAAGCTCTGCTGGGCAAAAGCCTCCCCTAGCCCTACCCGCTTTGTAAAAGCACTTGGTGGGCATCAGGAACGGAGCGGGCATGTGCCCTGGCTCCCATGGGCACCACACTGGGCACCCCTGCTCTAAAAGGAGGGGCTGGGCTATGTGTCAGTCGGTGCTCCCTCTAAGCCGGGGAGTCTTGTGAGCAAAAACTTACTGTGTGAGGTCCTGGCATTAAAGTTGTGAGCCGGTGATTTGGCTGCTGCTCCACAACCTAGTCTGCTCTGGAGCCCTCCTTCCCGAGCGGAGACAAAAATCTGCGAGCCGGAGGCTAGAAAATTGTGAGCTGGCTCACACTAGCTCAGCTTAGAGGGAACACTGGTGTCAGTCACTGCCAAACGGCGTCTGCACCGTCAGGCTCCCTGTTGCAGCGGTACTGCCTGTGAGAGCTCCTCCTCGGGATTGCCAGGAGCCGGGGGGTTCTGGGCCCCTGTGAGGGTTCCCGCTCCACCTTAAATGCCTGGCCATGCTGTTGCCATGCTGACGGGAGGGCACAGTTTCTGCAGAGCCTCACGTCCGCCCCCGGGGTGGTGGGGATTCCAGAGTCGCAAAGAGAGATCCTTGAAGCTGTAACATAAATGGTTCGCTTGCTGACTCCGGGCACACGGGCCAGACTCGATGTGGAAGTGTGGCTGCGGCTGCCGTGAGGATACCGCTGCCACTATGAAGCTGCGTAAAAAAGTGCTGCGAGGGCCCTATCCTGATCAGGCCCATAGCAGGGTGCTCTTGTCGTCCCCCCCACACACACACTTTTTCAAGCGCTGAAATGGCCACGGCAGGGAAGGGTCTCTGCCATTTCAGCCCTCGATAAGGTGAGGGGGGGGGAGCGCCTCAGCCCACCGTGCTGCAGACCCAACGAGGGCCTTGCGCCATTTCTAAATGGCTTTCAAAGGGCGGCCACCAGGACACTTGTCGTGTCTAGTTTGAAGAGGAGGAGGAGGAGAAGAGATTGGATTTATACCCCGCCTTTCACTTCCCAAAAGAGTCTCAGAGCATCTTACCATCTCCTTTCCCTCCCCCTCCCCACAACAGACACCCTGGGAGGTGGGTGGGGCTGAGAGAGCTCTTTCGAGGTCTGCTCTTGAGAGAACAGCTCTGAGAGAAGAACTTGTGACTGACCCAAGGTCACACCAGCAGCTGCATGTGACGGAGTGGGGAATCAAAACCGGGTTCTCCCAGAGTAGAGTCCGCCCCCCTAACCAGTGTTCCCTCTAAGCTGAGTTCGTGTGAGCCAGCTCACAGTTTTTTAGCCTCCGACTCACACATTTTTGTCTTCGCTCAGGAAGGGTGGCTCCAGAGCAAACTAATTGATGCAGTAGCCAAATCACCTGCTCACAGCTTTAATGCCAGTAGCTCACAAAATAGCTTAGAGGGAGCATTGCCCCTAACCACTGCACCAAACTGGCTCTGAGACTCGCACTGACCAGGTGTGTGTGCTTTTTTTCTTCTTCTTCCAGAAACAAAGTACAAAAAACTGGAGAAACGATGAGAGAAGCCCTTCCTGTAATGGGCCTTCCCCCCCCCCCCTTTTCCGGAATTCTTGACTGGCTTCCAGGCAGTCAGAAAACGCATCCCTGACTTTACAGAATGCGTACGGAGAGAATACTGCCGACCAGAATCGTGGCAAAACTCCTGGAACAGGGACGGCTGCTCTTTCCTGAGGCGGAAACGTCTTCCTTCCTCTACTCGGAGACACTGGGCCCTCTTTCCCCTTCTCCTTCGCACTTGACCAAGAGCTGATCCCCGTTCGCAGCCACTGCTGCAGCTCGCCTGCCCCAAGGACTCCCTTTTCCCTGCAGCTGCTGCACCTGCAAGCTGCCGCACCTTGCTTGTCTGTCCTTGACTCTTGTTTGAGCTGGCGCACGGCCGTTCCTCTGGCCTGGAAAGCCACACTCGGTTTGTGAGTCTGGACGCTTCCAGGGCGCGGCGAAGCAGGGTCTTGCAGGAACAGCGGCGTAGCCTAGTAGAGCATCCTCCCTGCTGTACTTTTCTTTGTGCACAATAAAGAACACTTGGAAAGGAAGGTGTTTTTCTTCTGGACTGGGCTTCTGTGTGTGGAGGGGGAGACGATGTTCTTCCGTATGGAATCCGTGCTGACTCACAGTCGTTCTTGAGAATAGATCCAGGTGGGTGGCCGTGTTGGTCTGAAGCAACTCTAATAGTAACATTCAGGTGGGTCACCATGCTGGTCTAAAGCAACAGGAGAAAGTTTGAGTCCAGGGACACCTTTAAGACCACCAAAGTTTAATTCTGGTTGGAGGCACCGCGTTGCATGCACACTTCTGCAGACACCCAGAATTAAACGTTGCAGGTCTTGAAGGTGTCCCTGGACTCAAACTTTCTCCTGTTGCTTTAGACCAGCATGGTGACCCACCTGAATGTTACTATTAGAGTTCTACACATACCTGCACTTCCTGGCATTTTGTGTTAGGCTCTGCCTCCAGGGGCAGCCATTCTGTGTTTGTGTCCCACCACCCTGTGGTCAGAAAGAATTTCAAAGGTGCCTGCAGGTTTAAAAAGTCCAGGAGAGACTGTTCTAGCTGGCAGCTCAGTAAATCAGCTTGAGGAAGCAGCCTTGGTGTCTTTCACTTGCGACAAACAGCTTTGTAGCTAGGAGAGAAATCTCTCAAATATTTGGCACGTTCTAAAAAGGCTTCTGTTTTAGGGAAGAGATTAAAATGTTCCATTTTCAGACTTCCACAGAGCTAAGGCACATCCGTGCCTGTGTGTCGCATGGCTATCAAACTTCCAACATTCAGGTGGGAAATACTCTGACAATCAATGTTCCCTCTAAGCTGAGTTAGTGTGAGCTGGCTCACAATTTTTTTTCAGCCTCCAGCTCACACATTTTTCTTTCCGCTCAGGAAGGATGGCTCCAGAGCAAACTCATCTATGCAGTAGCCAAATAGCTCGCTCCCAACTTTAATGCCAGGAGCAGGGTATAAACCTAATCTCTTCTTCTTCTTCTCTTGTGTTTAAAAGTGATGCCAGGACGTGCTTTTATACTTGTTAAGAGGTAACATGCAGTTGCCCCTGAAAATTCAGGGGCAACTGCATGTTACCTCTTAACAAGTATAAAAGCACGTCCTGGCATCACTTTTAAACACAAGAGAAGAAGAAGAAGAGATTAGGTTTATACCCTGCTCCTGGCATTAAAGTTGGGAGCGAGCTATTTGGCTACTGCATAGATGAGTTTGCTCTGGAGCCATCCTTCCTGAGCGGAAAGAAAAATGTGTGAGCCGGAGGCTGAAAAACTGAGAGCTAGCTCACACTAACTCAGCTTAGAGGGAACAGTGGTGGACTCTATGACATTGTACCCCACTGAGGTCCCTCTTCTCCCCAGGCTCCACCCCAAATCTCCAGGGCACCACTACACCAAGCTGGCTCTCAGAAAAGCAACTTTAGAAAATGGGAAATCAAAGTGCAGAAGGTGATATTTAACCCTTTCCCCCCCCTCACTGTTTTGCCGTTTCAAAGTTCCTCATGCACAATGTTTCCCTCAGAAACACACACGGAACTTTCCTGAGCAATTTGGAGCAAAAATGGATGAGGGAGCAACGGCTAGGAGCCCACCCCCCTACAAACTTGGGGGCCTGAGTTCTCCTCTTCCAAAGCTGCCTTTCAGTTTTAAAAATATTACCGGGGTCTTCCCAGACAACACGTCTTGCTCCGAAGGCTGGTTCTGTTCCTCTTGGAGCAGCCAAGCTTGCCAGTCTGGTACGGTTGGGTGGGGAAATCTCCCAGTGATTTGTGTGTTTGTGAGTGGCACTTTGCGATACGAATTTCCAGGGCTATTTTTGGGCAGGAACGCACAGGAACGGAGTTCCGGCTGGCTCCCGAGTTGGCCACGCCCAGCAGGAACTCATTAACATAATAGGCCACACCCAACAGCAGGAACTCATTAGGATTGGCTACATTAGGGGTGTGTGGCCTAACATGCAAAGGAGTTCCTGCTCCAAAAAAAGGCCCTGGGTTTGGACAACAAACAAGGTAAACAGAATAACAAGCCAAAGGTGGGTGTGGCTGGATGACCACACTTCTGGTAACATGGGGGTGCGGCCTCATAGGCTAATGAGCTGTGCTGTCAGGGGTGTGGCCTAATATGCTAATGAGTTCCTGCTGTTGGGCGTGGCCAGTTATGCTAATGAGTTTCTGCTGGGCTTTTTCTACAAAAAAAAACCCCTGCAAATTTCACTTCCTCGCTTCAGGCTGTAATACACACGGCATGCAATAAGGAGACAGACATCTTGCTGTTTTCAGTAGGCATCTTACATGTATTTTAATACACAGTATGGTATGTATTCTATAAATATATTTATGAGCATATATAATGTAAAAAAAGAGGCGAGTCCATTTTATAAAAGGTATGCATATAAGAGTTAACAAATGTCTTATCAGCTTACATGGCTGTGAGAACATTTTTGCAAGTCAAATGCCGTGCTGTGGTTCCGTGTGCCCGTCTCAGGGACTTCTTCAAGGCAGCAAAGGTGGCTCTTGGTATGACACTCCCTATAGCATACAAGTATCCATGTGTGTGGGGGGCAGGGGTCATTTCCTGCAGGAGCGGGCAGGAGCGGAGCTCCGGCAGTAAAGAGCCCAGGGGGCGGGCACATGCAACAAGCCCCGCCCCCTGCTCCCAGCAGCCCCGGGCCACGAGGAGCAAGAAGCAGATAGATAAGTTGCAGTGGGTGTTGCCTTCTGACACACTTCCGGTGATGTCAGGGGCTGTGGCATATGCAAATAAGTTATGCTAATGAGTTATGCTAATGAGCTCCTGCACCTCTTTTTCTGCGAAATGACCCCTGGTGTGTGTGTGGGGGGGTATCAACAGTCTGCGGTGTATTCTGGGCATGTGCACACTCACCCAAAACCGGGCTGGTTTTCCCTCTTTTTAATTTTTACCTTCAATCGTTCACAAAGACATCCAGTTACATTTCCCATTGCTGGATAAAGCTGGAGAGAGGCCTTACAACGAACTACTGAGAGAACAGCTTCAGAGGGTAACCTGGACGGCCTGCAGTCAAGCAGTCGAGTTGGTGTGTGGCAGAGCGGGTAGAATCCCAAGTCTGGAGGAGAGGTCTAACAGTGGCCATGGTGACGGAGAACCTCCACATTCAAAGGCACTAAACCTCTGGATCCCAAAGCCAGGAGGCAACATCAAGGGAAGTCCTCGGCCTCTCTGCCCTGTTGCTGGCCCTCCAGAGGGACTGGTTTGCCCCTGTGTGAGACAGGATGCTGGACTAGAGGGACCCTCCCTGGTCTGACCCAGCAGGGGCTCTTCTGATATGTCTTAGCTGAGAAGAAGCTAAGCAAAATTCCTGTTTGATATATCAAACTTTGACTCCTACAGGGGTTTTTGTTGTTGTTTTTAACTCAGTGAATTACTGGGAATGCAACCTGAGACTTCTCCAATCGCTTCCAAGGATGTGCTTTATAGATGCAATCCTAAACACACTGGCAAGAAAGTAAGAAATGGGATTTATTTCCCCAGAAAAAAAATCGATTTAGGTCTATTTACACCACACCAAAGTTGGACTATAAGGAAGGTCAAGCGCTGAAGAATAGATTCTTTTGAACTATGGTGCTGGAGAATACTCTTGAGAGTCCCTTGGACTGCAAGGAGATCAAATCAGTCAATCCTAAAAGAAATCCACCCTGACTGTTCCCTGGAAGGCCAGATACTGAAACTGAAGCTCAAATACTTTGGCCACCCAATGAGAAGGGAGCACTCACTGGAGAAGACCCTGATGCTGGGAAAGATTGAAGGTCAAAGAAGACGGGGACGGCAAAGGATGAGATGGTTAGACAGTGTCATAGATGCAACGAACAGGAAGTTGAGCCAACTTCAGAGGACGGCGGAAGACAGGAAGGCCTGGCGGGATTCCTTTTTATGGGGATACAATAGATCACAAGTTGTCTCCCAATGTGGGGTTGTCAGAACACCCTCCGCTTCCGTTAAGCTTGCGTCAAAATGACACTGTTGACTGTCTTAACTCCTATTGAATAATGTCTGTACTGTAGTTGGGGGCTTTTGCGGGTTGGGGGGGTTATTTTCCAGGACAAGCAGTTTCCTTTCTCTAGTGCTGAGGCATTCATGGTCCCAGGAAAAGTGGCAAGTTCAAGCAAAGCAGCTCCTCTCCTGCGGCAACGCTTGCCGTTCCAGAACCTTCTCTACCTTCCGTTTCCTCTCACCTCATCGTCTCTCTGCCTCTCTCTCTCTCTCTGTCCTTTCACCTCTGCCCAACACAACTGGCTATTTTGATCCTTTAAAGAAACGAATAGGCTGGCCCACTACCACCAACGCACCAGCAAGTGTCTTCCCTTTACCATGACATTTAGAGCACACTGTTATGTTCCAGCCACAGGATCAGAGCTGGCACAAAGGGAGCACTAAGAGGAAAGCGACTTCTGTTGCTCCTAGAAGGAGAGAAGAGATTGGATTTATACCCCATGGCCCTCCACTACCCAAAGGTGTCTCAGAGCGGCTTACAAACTCCTATCCCTTCCCCTCCCCACAACAGACACCCTGTGAGCAATGCTCCCTCTAAGCTGTGGGGTCTTGTGAGCAGAAATTCTACTTTGTGAGCTACTGGCATTAAAGTTGTGAGCGAGTGATTGGGCTACTGCATGCATTAGTTTGCTCTGGAGCCCTCCTTCCTGAGCTGAGACAAAAATGTGTGAGCCGGAGGCTAAAAAACTGTGAGCTAGCTCACACTAACTCAGCTTAGAGGGAACACTGCCTGTGAGGTAGGTGGGGCTGAGAGAGCTCTGACAGAGACTGCTCTTTTTCAAGGACAGCTCTTATCAGACCTACGGCTTGCCCAAGGTCATCCAGCCAGGTGCAAGTGGAGGAGTGGGGAATCAAACCTGGTTCTCCCAGATTACAGTCCGCGCACTTCACCACGACACCAAACTGGATCTCCTAAAAAGGGAGATCAGTACAAGCCCTGAAAGATGAATGCCAATAAGTGGTGGGCCAATGTTCCCTCTAAGCTGTGGAGTCTTGTGAGCAAAACCTCTACTCTGTGAGCCACTGGCGTCAAAGTTGTGAGCGAGCGATTTGGCTGCTGCATAAGTTAGTCTGCTCTGGAGCCATCCCGCCTGAGCTAAGACAAAAAATTGTGAGCCGGAGGTTAAAAAAATGTGAGCTAGCTCATACTCACTCAGCTTAGAGGGAACATGGTGGCCATTGATTGCAGTGCTCAGTCTGTACCTGTGAGGGTATGCATACACTCATGTGCACCTGTATGTTGAGGTCACAATTCGTTCACCTGACACTGTGGGTCTTTCAGGCGCTACAGAATTCTCACTGGATTTCTCTAGAACTGCCTAACCCCACTCTCCTCCTGAGATCAGTAACTTTTGTCAACCAACAATGTTTGTGGACATACACATTTTAAAGTCACAAAAGAGACACCGTTCTCAGGGTCCTCGTTAATTCCTTTCCCTCCCTCTGCCAATTAGGCACAGAGCCGTCCGTCCTTAACGGGAGTTAACCTTCCAAGCGCACGCTGCCTCATCTCTGAAACAGAACTGCACAGAATACAAAAGGTGTCGGTAAATGTCTTTGGTTTGCGTCTTCATCGCCGGCATTACACGAAAGGGATCCTATCGCATCTGAGTCGGCCGCTGCATAGACTAGCGACTCATTTGGCAGTAAAAACCGATTACCAAAAGATGGGTTCTGAGCCGTTGTCTCCGGGAGTCTTTGGGAAATCCTGCTCCTCTCCTTCCCTCTTCCGCTCGCGACAAGAGGTGATTCTGAACGACCTCCTTCGTTCACCGCAGCTCCTCGGTCCATAAGTGTGCCATGAATGAGTCCTCGGAGGAGGCCGAGGTCTTTAGCAGAGGCTCTCCTCTTTCCTTCAACTGCCCAGGATGCTTCAGGTGGGTGGCCATGGTGGTCTAAACAACAGGACAAAATCCAAGTCCGGTGGCACCTTGAAGACCAACGTCCAAGAGGCAGCCAAATGGGTGGGGTCAGGAGACCACAGAGCACCTGGGCAGGGGGACGTTCTCCTCACACACCCCGGGGTGGCTCCGTTCCCACCAGCCCCTCCAGTCAGAAAGGCCAAGCACTTTCGTTCCTCGAGCCCGGTCCCAAAGCGATCATGGAGTTCCTCTCCGCTTTGCTCAGATCCGAAGTCGCGATGTCAGGCCTGAATACACATGGGGGGAGGGGGAAAGATGCCATTAACATTTTGCAGCGTCAAAAGCATGGCATGGATTCACAGGGGTCATTTCCTGCCGGAGCGCACAGGAGCGGAACTCCGGCAGTAAAGAGCCCAGGGGGCGGGCACATGCAACAAGCCCCACCCCTGCTCCCAGCAGCCCTCAGTCAGAGCAAGAGGCAGCCAGGTAAGCTGCAGAGCCCCCCCCCCCGGTCCAAAACAGTCCAGTGGCACCTTTAATACCAAGTTTTATTCAGGTACAAGCTCTCCCTCCTCTGCGAGGACAGATCTGCGTGTCCCCCCCCCCCAATAGCTAGCGATCCAAAACAGTCGAGTGGCACCTTTAAGACCAAGTTTTATTCAGGTACAAGCTCTCCCTCCTCTGTGAGGACAGATCTGCATGGTCCCCCCCCAATAGCTAGCAACCCAAAACAGTCCAATGGAGCCTTCTGACAGAATTCCGGTGATGGCATATGCAATCCGGGGGTGTGGCATATGCAAATGATTGATGCAAATAAGTTATGCTAATGAGCTCCTGCACCTCTTTTTCTACGAAATGACCCCTGCTGCTGCATAAATTAGTTTGCTCTGGAGCCATCTTTCCCGAGCCAATAAAACTGCTGTCAGCTGCCGTCAGCTGCTTCTTAAAGACTGAAAGTGAGGGGCTGCCACTGACAAGACCCTTTCTTATGTGCCCACCGGATAAGCTTCTTTGATTGGTGGGACAGTTGGGACAACGATAAATAAATAAATAAAGAAGCACCATAGCAATAACAAGAGATGTGATGCTAACTCGGTCTGGACCTGGGGCTCAGCGGTGACCTGTCGGATGGGAGGCTACCCTGTGGGACGGCTTCCCCCAACACCGCTGTGTGTCCCAAGAGGGAGCTCAGTTTCTGGCTCTGGCTCTGGCTCTGGGCGAGGGGAGAACAGCTGGTTGTTTGTTGGGGTTTTTCCATGCTGTGAGCCCGCCCCTGTGCTTCTGCCGCTGGGGACTCTGCCAGGTAGATTCCAGGAGCGGGCTGCAGGTGTCCGTCAGTTTCCATTTGGGTGAGCAGCTGCTGGATCACTCACTTGCCCTGGCTCCCACGTGGCCCGGGGCACATAAATAATAAGCCAAATAGATCTGTCCGCACATGGGAGTCTGTGGAGCGCCAGCTGCAGCTGCAGGGACTTTTTCATTAGTTTTGCAGCTGGAAAAGAAAACTGGGCCAGCCCAGGCCGGCTTCCTGCTATTGTTTTCGCAACTGAAAGGAACCCAAAGCCCTGAGAGGAGATCAAAAGAGGCCCCCTCAGCGAGAACAGCTGGAGAGGACAGAAACGCAGGGAAACATGTGCTGAGATTTGGGCCTGCCCCCCCCCCCGCCGCCATGAGTGTCATGGGGCATTCCATAGGGTTGCCAGCAATGCTCCCTCTAAGCTGCGGAGTCTTGTGAGCAGAAATTCTACTTTGTGAGCTACTGGCATTAAAGCTATGAGTGAGCGATTTGGCTGCTGCATAAATCAGTTTGCTCTGGAGCCCTCCTTCCTGAGCTGAGACAAAAATGTGGGCAGCGCAAACGGCAGCAGCAGCGGCGGCCAGGCTGGGCTCAAAAGCAGCCTGGGCAGGCGGCGAACAGGAAAGGTGCGGGGAGAAGCCTCCTTCTCTGGCTTCCACGAGACACTCGCTGCATCGTCATCCAGCAGCAAGTAGGCCAGGCCAAGCCAGGAGGCAGGCAGCTGCCTTCTCTGGCCCCGGCCAGGCATGTTCAGCTGCGCTCCAGGGCACCAACAAGCAAAGCTCCCTGTAAGCTGTAGACTCTTGTGAACAAAAATTCTACTTTGTGAGCTACTGGCATTAAAGTTGTGAGCAAGTGATTTGGCTGCGGCACAGGGGTCATTTCCTGCGGGAGCGCACAAGAGTGGAGCTCCGGCAGTAAGGAGCCCAGGGGGCGGGCACATGCAACAAGCCCCGCCCCCTGCCCCCAGCAGCCCTCAGTCAGGCCACGAGGAGCAAGAAGCAGCCAGGTAAGTTGCAGAGTGCCCCCCCAGCCCACCTTCAGGTACAAGCTCTCCCTCCTCTGTGAGGGCAGATCTATCTATACCTTGTGGCTGATAGCCACTGCTGCAAGTGGAGGAGTGGGGAATCAAACCCGGTCCTCCCAGATTAGAGTCCGTGCACAACCACTACACCAAACACATCAGGTACAAGCTCTCCCTCCTCTGCGAGGACAGATCTGCACGTTCCCCCCCCCCCCAATAGCTAGCAATCCAGAACAGTCCAGTGTTGCCTTCTGACACACTTCCGGTGATGTCAGGGGGTGTTGCATATGCCAATAAGTTATGCTAATGAGTTATGCTAATGAGCTCCTGCACCTCTTTTTCTACGAAATGACCCCTGCATCCGCATGCAAAGTTAATAAGCCAGTTTTGTGGGAGAGGTAGCTACTGAATTATCCAAGACTAGAAATAATGCCCGTTGCGGAAATAAATACAACGGGATCTAGAAAGAGGCTCTGGGAGACTGCTCTGGCTTTGGGCAAACAGTGTCAGTTTCCTGTGGCGACCTCAGCAGGGTTTAATGACAGAGTTCACTGTTTTCTCCAGAGGGACTGATCTCTGCTACCTGAAGAGCATTTGTATGTTTGAGTTATCTGTAGCCCTCACCTGGAGAGTGGTAACCATTGTTACCCATTCTCCTCTCCCCTATGAGGTATGTTATGCAACTGAAAATTCCAACTGCCTTGCGGGGGGGGGAGTTTGAGGTGTGGAATGGAGTGAAGTCCAATCAGCTTCCATATGCAAAAGACCAGGTTGTCGCAGCAGTTGTGGTGTGGGCGGGACCCGGGCTTTGCCTTCTGATTGGTGGCGATATATGCTGAGGAGCAGTGCCATCAGCCATACACTAAGGGAGTGCATTTTAGAATTAGAACTTTGGCACCCACTATTCAATTATATATAAGGAGAGATGCCTACGGATTCCTTGGTGGGGCAGAACTTTGAAGCTGGGTGGACTCAGGAGACCCGAGTCCAGGTCCACAAATCCAGCCCCTGGAGCTCACCGGCTTCCTTGACAGTGTGTCACCGAGATGGCCTCCCCAGAATTCTTCACCACCCACCCACCACCTGGCCAGCGGCTCAGGTGAACACTCCAGTCCTAGAATGCTCACCTATAGAGCTGAGGGCAGGACCTTTTCAAGGCCGCCGAAGCCAGACCCAGCCTGCTCTGGTGGCGCCCCCTGGTCTTCCGCACGAGGTCTCTCATTCTTCCCCAGGCGTGACTCTCGCCCTGCAGGACAGGCGCAAAGACACAATTCCAGTGCTGCAACATGAGGAGAACGCACGAAGCTGCCTTATACCCAGGGGTCATTTTCTGCAGGAGCACACAGGAGCGGAGCTCCGGCAGTAAAGAGCCCAGGGGGCGGGCACCAGTGTTCCCTCTAAGCTGAGTTAGTGTGAGCTAGCTCACAGTTTTTTAGCCTCCGGCTCACACATTTTTATCTTAGCTCAGGAAGGATGGCTCCAGAGCAAGCTAACTTATGCAGTAGCCAAATCGCTCGCTCACAATTTTAATGCCAGTAGCTCACAGAGTAGAATTTTTGCTCAGGAGACTCCACAGCTTAGAGGGAACATTGGCGGGCACATGCAACAAGCCCCACCCCCTGCTCCCAGCAGCCCTCAGTCAGAGCAAGAAGCAGCCAGGTCAGTTGCAGAGCCCCCCCCAAAAAAAGCCCAAAACAGTCCAGTAGCACCTTTAAGACCAAGTTTGATTCAGGTACAAGCTCTCCCTCCCCTGTGAGGACAAATCTGCACGTTCCCCCCCCCCCCTGCGCGACCAATCCAAAACAGTCCAGTGGAGCCTGAGCGGTGGGTGTTACCTTCTGACACACGTCCGGTGATGTCAGGGGGTGTGGCATATGCAAATGAGTTATGCTAATGAGCGCCTGCACCTCTTTTTCTATGAAATGACACCTGCTTATGCCAAATCAGTCCATCAAGGTCAGTGTTGCCTACTCAGACTGGCAGCGGCTGTCCAGGATCTCCGGCAGAGAAAGGTCTTTCCCATCCCCTCCTGCCTGGTAGAAAGGACTGGAGAGCCCGGGGAGTGAACCTGGAACCTTCTCCATGCAAAGCACAGGCTCTGCCACTGAGCCACGGCCCCTCTCTTAAACAAGATGTCCCAGGCACACGTGTTCTTCCCGGAGGTACCACGCCTGCCTGAAAAGTGGCGCTCTGCCCTTTCTCACAAAATGTTCAAGGCAGCCGCTTTGCAGCCAGTTTCCTTCAGACAGGAGAGCAGCTTTGAGGAGGGAATGTGGCAGGCGCCCCACAACTCTGAGAACTGCTTCCAGGGGCCAGGGAAAATAATGGCGGGTGAAAGATTACGAGGAACTGCAAGCCAATGTTCCCTCTAAGCTGAGTTAGTGTGAGCTAGCTCACGGTTTTTTAGCCTCCAGCTCACAGGTTTTTGTCATAGCTCAGGAAGGATAACTCCAAGGCAAACTGACTTATGCAGTTAACCAAATTGCTTGCTCACAACTTTAATGCCAGGAGCTCACAAAGCAGAATTTTTGGCTCACAAGACTCCACAGCTTAGAGGGAACATTGACTGCAACGTAAGAAGATTTTGCAGCAACCGGGAGAAATCTCAGCCCAGCAATGATTTTGCAGTTGGCTCAGCCAAAGGAGAACAGCACAACCAACTCTGTTTCTGGAGTTTTCCTGTCTCAAGCGGACCGTAATCAAAACAAAGTCCAGGAGTAACCACATTTATTTCAATAGGGGCTTTTGGGAGCATTCTGGAGCACCCAGAAAGATTTTGAAAGCCCATGTTGAAATGGAGGTGGCTGGTCTTCAAGGTGCCCCCGGGCTTTGGTGCTGTTTTGTTCTAACACGGCTACCCAGAGGCACTCGACAGAACTGCACAGAGACCGGAACTGCCGAACGCCACCGCTGTCCACCTGGCACCTCCCATCTCATGGGAAATCACACCACCCCTGGGCAGCTGGCAGCGGACTCTTTGTGCCTTGGGGCTGAGCAAAACTCGAGTCCAGTTGGGCACCTTTTAAGACCAGCAAAGTTTTATTTAAGGTGTAAGCTCTTGTGTGCGCGAACACTCCCTCAGATACCACAATAAGCAGCGGTCATTTAGTAGAAAAAGAGGCGCAGGGGCTCATTAGCATAACCAATTAGGATAACCTATCTGCATATGCCACACCCCCTGACATCACCGGAAGTGTGTCAGAAGGCAACACCCACTGCAACTTACCTGCCTGCTTCTTGCTCCTCATAGCCCAGGGCTGCTGGGAGCAGGGGGCGGGGCTTGTTGCATGTGCCCGCCCCCTGGGCTCTTTACTGCCAGAGCTCCGCTCCTGTGCGCTCCGGCAGGAAATGACCCCTGACGATAAGCGTGCACACAAAAGCTCATCCCTTGAATATAACTTTGTTGGTCTTCAAGGTGCCTGACTGGACTCGGAACTTTGTTCTGGTGCTTCAGACCAACATGATTATCCCCCTTGAATATCCCTTGGGGTCTAATTCGTGGGACATGAGCGCCTTAGTTGCCTGCAGGGAGGCATTGGCCCTTGGAACAACCAGCCGCTGCTCCGTCCTCGTTCTTCCTCCCCCCCCCCCCCCCCCGATTCTACGTGTCAATTTCCCACTACTTGCTGCACAACCGCATTTTGTCCCACAGCAAGTAGTGGGAAACTGACATGTAGAATGGGAGGGGGGAAGGAAGAGCGAGGACAGAGCAGCGGCTAGTGGGAAATCGGTCCGACTGTCGCTCCAAACAGCTCACGATCAAGTCGTTTGCCATTTTGACCATGGGGGTGTGTGCAGAGAAGGGGCAAAGGCAACTGGGCGAGAGAAAAGGGCAGCTTTTCTGTGTGGATATATTTGACATATGAATTACTTACCGAGGCACTTCTGCTGATGTCCGAGCCCTAGACATGACAAGAGGGGGGGAAAACATCAATTATCAACTGCTGGATTGCGACTGATTGTGAAGCTCAAGACAATGCATCCACCTGGATTGAACCCAGACCTAGGTTTCCTGTCTCATTATCTATGCTGATTTCTCCACGCCTATTACTCCTCTGCATAGCTCACCTAAATCCAATCACCCCTGCTATTGTCATTTGCCTACTAATGTCATTCAGCATCTGAAATCACTACGCCTTCCAATAGATAGGACAGATGGACTCCCATTCTAGCTGTATCTGAAGAAGTCAGCCCTGACTCACGAAAGCTCCTACCCTGCTGTTAGTCTTTCAGGTGCTCCTGGACTCTTGCTCTTTTCTACTGCTACAGACAGACTAACACAGCTGCCCATCTTGATCATTAATATGGGGTAGGATGGATGCCTGGGATCAGTTTCAAATGTCCATGCCATATCATTTTAAGATGAATAAGGACTGCCCTGTTTTTCTCAGTCTGCAGGCTTTTAAGGGGCCTCTCTAGTATCAGAGGAACATTAGACTACCACCGGCTCTTATGTTTCCAATTGCCTTCTTCTTGGAATACCAAAGTAAAGGTAAAGGTGAGGGTTTCCCTTGCTTGAAAGCCAGTCGAATCTGACTCTAGGGGGCAGTGCTTATCTCCATTTCCAAGCCGAAGAGCCAGTGCTGTCCGAAGACCTTTCCGTGGTCATGTGGCTGGCATGACTGGACGTCGAGGCGCACGGAATGCCGTTACCTTCCCACCAAAGTGGTACCTATTTATCTATTTGCAATTTCTTGCTTTCAGACTGCTAGGTTGGCAGGAGCTGGGACCAGAGACAAGAGCTCACTCTGTCATGCAGCACTCGGGTCTCGAACTGCCGAACTACAGACCTTCTGGTCTGCAGCTTCAGCGTCTTAACCTCTGAGCCACCGCGGCCTCTGGAATACCAACAGCACAGCCTGAAACCAGCTGCAGCCAGCATTTATTATGCTACACAGGATGATGCATGCATTTATTTATTTATGTCTCACTTTTCTCCCCAGCTGGGACACAAAGCCGCTTAGAACATCTTTCTTGCCTCCTCCATTTTCTCACACCAACCCACCCTGTGAGGGAGGCCAGGCCAACAGTCTGTGATGGGTCCAAGGCTACCCAGCGAGCTTCCATGGTGGAAGTGAGGATTTGAACCCAGGTCCCCCAGGAACTTAGCCCGACACTCTATCTGCGACGCTGACCTGAAACATCCCTTTTCTCTTTTTTTGCCTTTTGGATTGACGCATAAAAGCCATTCACAGGTGTCTGAGATCTGGGTTGGCACATTCCAAGCAGGTGACCTCTAATTCAGACCCATCCCCAACATTCGGCCCATCCGCCAGTTCTTTCTGCCAGGACATCGTATTCCAGGCTTGACAGGCAGCTCGTGCTGGTTTCAGACTCAATTTCACAGATGGAAATGTTGAAGGGTCCACGGTAAAATCTCCTTCCTGGGCCTTCCTTGGGGACTGTGTCAAATATGAAGCACCTGCAGTTCCCTTGCTGGCTTCCCCTTTTCTCAGTGGCGCTTTCATTTTTCTACACATTTCCCATCCTGATCTGCATGTGCAGGCACGCACGCACACACACACCCCTCTCAAATTCCACAGGGGATCACCAGGTTAGTCCACTGCAGCAAAGAGCCCTGGCTTCCATTCAGCCAAACGTTTCGTAAAACAAAGATTGCTGGAACAGAGTGCCCAAAGCAATGTGGAACTAGTTGGAATCTTGGACACAATCCTCCTTTGCGGGCAGTTACTTCTTTCTCCCCTGACTCTTCCAGCGCACTTTACTGATACGGTGAATTATGACTACAGAAAGGCTTTCACTAAAGGCAGGCCTTAGATAGTCTACTGCAGTGGTGGCGAACCTATGGCACGGGTGCCAGAGGTGGCACTCAGAGCCCTCTCTGTGGGCACGCGTGCCATCGCCCCAGCCAGGCCCAGACCATCATTAAAGTGTCGAATTCTCTGCCAAATAATTTTAAGTAAACGAAAGCAGTTGGGATTGCTTTCCTTACTTTGTTTGGATCATCTTAAGCTAATTTTTGAGTTGTTTTTTCATAAAGTAAAACCTCAGTATTCAGGTTAAATTGCCGTGTTGGCACTCTGCGATAAATAAGTGGGTTTTGGGTCGTAGTTTGGGCACTCGGTCTCTAAAAGGTTCGCCATCACTGGTCTACTGCTTGCTGTTTGAGAAGGCCGCTTCAGCGGGATTCCAGGAGTTTGCCCCAGGGACTGTCGGTCCGTTGAGGATTTCTCCCGTTCCAGTGCCGGAGATTTGAGGCTGAGCATACGCAGTTTCTAAGGACCAGCACGTCTCATGTCCCAGGAAGGAGAGACCAGGATAAATCAGGATTGCTGCTGGCAGATAAGGATAAATTTCAAAGTTTGCTGCTGCTGTGGTAAAGATAAAGATGACGACGATGAGGCAGGTGTTGATGTAAGCAGGGCTGAACTGCACACTGGCTGCTCCGCTCTGGACCATCAGCCGTTTGGATTGTCGGGTGGTTTTATTTTGAGATATGCTGAACGATCATAACGGATTTTAATTTTTTTTCCCCCTGTGAAAACGTCCGGACATTTTTTAATGGTGTTATTGTCAGTACGATGGCTTATTCACTGCTGCCATAAAAACAAAGACCTTTTTAAAAAAACCTAATTTTCTGTGCAGTTCCCGGGGACTCAAGCTTTTTCTTGCACCTGACAAACGGGGCTTGCTTCCATGGAAGCTTATACTCTTGTGTGTGTGCGTCACTTACCCTTTTCAGGTGTGGCTCCTTTGGGAGATTAGCTTGACCATCGATTGTGCTACAACCTTCTCCATGCCCCGCCTCGCCACTTCTTCTTCCATTTGGCAGCTTTAACCCCATTAACAGCTGGTAGTGACCCAGATCCACATACGCGTCTCCCTCTGCAAGCACAAGCGGAGAGTTAACCACGAGAAGCAGAACACGGCACAGCATTCTCTTAGCCATCCCATCGACTGGTCCCTTCGGAGGCTACAAGGGATCTCTGTTTGAGGCTCCCACCCAGTGGAATTGCCTGACGCCCAGGGCTCATTTTCTGCCGGAGCGCACGGGAGCGGCGCTCCGGCAGTAAAGAGCAGATTCATGCTCCCTCTAATATTGTTTCCGGGAAGCATCTCTTAGCTTATATATTACCAAACACCAAGTGATCGATAGTTTTTTGACAGGCAGACAGGCAGATTAGATGCAGATATACTGATCGACCCACATAGGTAAAGGTAAAGGTCTCCCTTGCTCGAAAGCAAGTCGACTCCGACTCTAGGGTTGCGGTGCTCATCTCCGTTTCAAAGCCGAAGAGCCAGCGCTGTCCGAAGATGTTTCCGTGGTCATGTGGCCGGCATGACTAAACCCCAAGGCGCACGGAACGCTGTTACCTTCCCACCGAAGGGGTACCTATTTATCTACTTGCAATTTCTTGCTTTCGAACTACTAGGTTGGCAGGTCCACATAAGTAAAGGCAAAACGATGGTTTAGAAGAAGAAGAGATTGGATTTATACCCTGCCCTTCACTACCCAAGGGAGTCTCAGAGCGGCTTACAAACTCCTTTCCCTTCCCCTCCCCACAACAGAGACCCTGTGAGGTAGGCGGGGCTGAGAGAGCTCTTGACAGAAACTGCTCTTCTTCAAGAACAGCTGTGCCAGATCCATGGCTTGCCCAAGGTCATCCAGCAGCTGCGAGTGGAGGAGTGGGGAATCAAACCCGGTTCTCCCAGATTAGAGTCCACGCACTTAACCACTGCACCAAACTAACACGGCTACCCTTCTCGAACAACCTGAAGAAGTGAGCGGTGACTCACGAAAGTTCCTATCCTACCACAGAATTTGTTAGTCTGTAAGCTGCTCCTGGACCCTTACTCTTTTCCATTAAAAAATTTAACACACACCCCCCCCCCCGATAGTAGCTATGTTATTAGTATCCATCGACTGAAAAAAATACATGACGACAGAAAGATCAAAATGTTAATGCTCGGTATGCACGTGGATTGGCAGTAGGGTTGCCGAACTCCAGGTGGCACCTGGAGATCTCCAATATCAGTTCCCCTGCAGAAAATGGCTGCTTTGGAGGGTGGATTCTCTGGCTTTATACTCTACTAGGGTCCCTCCCCTCCCCCAAGCCCCGCCCTCCCCAGGCTCCACCCCCCCCAAAGTCTCCAGGTATTTCCCCACCCAGACCTGGCAACCCTGAATGGCAGACTTGCAATCATTCCACGCCACCCCAGGAATAGGGAATAGGGTTGATCCCAAAATTACAACAGATCTCTGACTACAGAGATCAGTTCTCCCGGAGAAAACTGGCAAACTTGGAGGGTGGACTCTATGGCATTGTACCCTAGCGAGGCCGCTCTCCCCACTTAACTCTGCTTTTCTCAGGCTCCGCCCCCAAATCTCCAGGAATTTCCCAACCTGGAGTTGGCAACCCTAGTTGGGAACCACTGCCCTGGGTCATGTCATCCCAGGGAAGGCTGGAGGTGGGGGTCCCCGGGGTCCGGTGTCAGGATGCGGGACGGCAAGGGGGAGGAAGGGATTAGGAATGAACGGATGAAATGAGAACGACCTCAAACGGAAATACCATTTTTGGTAAATAAAACAAAACAGTTCCACACGCCTCCCCTTGACTACTGGGGAAAGCTCTGCCCCCTTCTCAATCTGCTAGGAACTGAATTAAAAACTATGCTTCCCCACAGCTTTCAATAGAGGGCTTTATTCTCCCCGCCCACCAAAATTATGCAACAGCCACACTGTCAGACACGCTTTTCAGTGTGTTTGCTCAGAAGCAGGGGTCATTTTGTAGAAAAAGAGGTGCAGGAGCTCATTAGCATAACTTATTAGCATAACTTATTTGCGTGTGCCAAACCCCCTGACGTCACCGGAAGTGTGTCAGAAGGAACCACCCACTGCTCTGGCTCCACTGGACTCTTTTGGATTGCTAGATATGGGGGGGGGATGCGCAGATCTGCCCTCGCAGAGGAGGGAGAGCTTGTACCTGAATAAACCTTGTCCTTAAAGGTGCCACTGGACTGTTTTGGATTGCTATCTGGGGGGCGGGATCTCTGCAACTTCCCTGGCTGCTTCTTGCTCTGCCTGAGGGCTGCTGGGGGCAGGGGGTGGGGCTTGTTGCAGGTGCCCGCCCCCTGGGCTCTTTACTGCCAGAGCTCCGCTCCTGTGCGCTCCGGCAGGAAATGACCCCTGCTCAGAAGAAAGATCCAGGGGTTGACCTGAAGCAACAGAACAGAGTTTGAGTCCAGTGGCCCCTTTTAAGGCCAACAGAGTTTAGTTCTGGGTGTATAAGCTTTTGTGTGCATATAAACTTTTGGGTATAAGCTTTCGTGTCTCTCTAGTTATTCTTGGAGGGACTGTCATTGGAGTGAGTGTGTGAGCATGGGAGAGAGAAGCGATTCAGGGCCTGTCGCACGGAGAGTGTGCATTTCCAGTGAAGTCCGTTTGTCCAAAAAGGCAGCCACGCACCTTTCCAGCGGCCTGGGTTTTCTCTGCCGGCTCCTGTTTCTGGAATGCTAGAGAGGTCGGACGCGTTTCCGTTCTGGGCCAAGAGGCTGTGCGGTCTGCTCTTCCCAGCAAAGACATTCTTCACCTCCTGGTGCGAGCCGAGCAAGACGCTGGCAGCAGCGCTGCAGGAACACTGCTGTAGAAAATACTCCTACACCAGGAGAGAGAGCAGAGAGATGCGGGGCGGTTGTCAGAAGGAGAAACTGGCGCCACGAGTTATCACAGACGCATTGCTAGCATTCCAGGGGAGAGATGGGCAGCCTCGGCCCCAAGACCTGTCAAGCCAAAACGAACGTGTCTAACACGGTTGAGGAATCCAGGGAACAGAAGCTCCACCCCAAATCTTTTACTGTTGCCAACTTCCAGGGGAGGCCTGGGGAGCTCCCAAAATTATAACTGGTCTCCGGACTACAGAGATCAGTTCTCCTGGAAAAACTGGCTGGTTTGGAGGGTGGGCTCTGCGGCACTGTACGCTGTTGAGGTCCCACCTCTCCTCAAACCCCCGCCTTCCCCTGGCTCCACCCCCAAATCTCCAGGAATTTCCCAACCCAGACCTGGCAACTCCTAGGCCGTTTGCATCTACTCCCTGCATGTCTGCATTAGTACTTCTGCAACTAATACATCTGAATAATGTCATCTTGAAGAGATACCAAGATTCTGCTCTGGAGGTCACTTTCCACATTAAATCTTTGTTATGACTCTCTACAGCCAGGGCATTTTTTGTAGAAAAAGCCCAGCAGGAACTCATTAGCATAATTGGCCACACCCAACAGCAGAAACATATTAGCATATTAGGCCACACCCCCGACAGCACAGCTCATTAGCCTATGAGGCCACACACCTGTGTTACCAGAAGTCTGGTCATCCAGCCACACCCACCTTTCCCTTCTTATTCTGTTTACCTTGTTTGTGGTCAAAACCCAGGGCCTTTTTTTGTAGCAGGAACTCCTTTGCATGTTAGGCCACACACCCCTCATGTAGCCAATCCTAATGAGTTCCTGCTGTTGGGTGTGGCCTATTATGTCAATAAGTTCCTGCTGGGCGTGGCCAACTTAGGAGCAAGCCGGAACTCCGTTCCTGTGCGTTCCTGCCCAAAAATAGCCCTGTCTACAGCCAAAATTTGCACAAAACAGCTGAATGCCGACTGGCGTATCCTCCTGTTGATAAACTGAAAATGCAAGAATGTTTGTTCTAAAGTACCCAAGGAATGAATCAGATTATGGAATTACTCCTGAAAGGAACCCGATACATATTTTTGTGTCGGCAGCTATTCTGTCCTGATCTTGAGTGGAATAAACACAACAAAAAAAGAATAATGGAAAGAACTTTTCAACTCGGTAACCATATTGCTTCTGCAGAAGACGAGAAAAGGCAACACAATCTTGAATTCTTCTTGATGGGACGTCAGATTTAAGTGGCGGTGCCTTTAATTTTCAGTTGTTTGCCCAAGCATTGTGGTGTGGGCTTCCACGCCTCTCCTGTGCAAAAGAGATCCCAGAGAATCCCGCTGTCCAGAGTAAATTTTAAGTCATCTTGGAACTGGGCCTCATTCACAAAGTGTTATTTTTATTTATGTATTTATTTACAAAATGTATACCCCTCCTCTCTGCCGCTCCTCCCTGGCTAACAGATTGAAAACATTCATAATAAAAACACATCTTAAAAATCATGATGCTAGTGAATTAAAACCGAACAAAAACGTATCATTAAAACCAAGTTACAATGAACCCACAATACAATAAAATACACATAAATAAAAGTCCTCAAACACAGGAGCTTCAAGGGGAAATTGATGAACTTGCGTTCATTCACAGATTCCAAACAATGGACCCCCAGGGCCAAATAGGGACACCAGATTCTTATCTCACTACAGATGCTAGTTTTCTGTCCCCAAGCATTTCCCCTCTGCTCTAGTCAAGATGATCAAAATATGCCTCATACCTGTGTATCCCGAGCCCCTTCTCTGCATCACCCCTCCCACCTTCTGAGTGGGAGATAAGGACTCAGGGATCTCCATTCCAACTTGTATCTGATGAAGCGAACTTTGACTCTTGACAGCTTATACCGCGGAAATCTTGTGGGTCTCTAAGATGTTACTGGACTTTGTGGGGGGGGGTCGCGGATTGCAACCTGCTTTGGAACGGGGCCCAGGGACCCGCTCTGGAGCAGAAAAAAGCCTGGGAAAACCCCCCCCCCCCCGGCAAAGCAAGGCGGTGGCTGGGAGTTTGCAACGCTCTGCAAGGAATTGCAATTGCCGCCGCTGGGCATGCAAAGACACAGGGGGGTCCCGCGGTGCCGTGGGGAGCAGCCTGGAGCCGGCCCTGCCTGTGGCCACTGGTGGCGGTGCTTGGCTTTGCAATCGCAGGCCGTCCTCTCGCCCCTGCGCCTCCGACCAGCTGGTGGGGGTGGGACTCCTGGCGCACCTGCCTTCACTGCCCCGCCACCTTATTCCTGTTTAGACTCCAGACACTGGAGGAAGCCAGGAACTCCTGGCTTTGTTAATGGCCCTGTTATTGATTCATTGGTGTTTTAATGTTTATTGATTGTAAAAAGGTAAAGGTAAAGGTTCCCTTGCTCAAAAGCCAGTCGAGTCCGACTCTAGGGTTCCGATGCTCATCTCTGTTTCAAAGCCGAAGAGCCAGCGCTGTCCGAAGACGTTTCCGTGGTCATGTGGCCGGCATGACTAAACACCAAGGCGCACGGAACGCTGTTCCCTTCCCACCGAAGTGGTCCCTATTTATCTACTTGCAATTCCTTGCTTTCGAACTGCTAGGTTGGCAGGAGCTGGAACTAGAGACGGGAGCTCACTCCGTCTTGCGGCACCCGGGTCTCGAACTGCTGAACTACCGACCTTCCACAGCCTGCCGTTCAGCGTCTTAACCACTTGAGCCACCGCAGCTCCTTTATTGATTGTATTACTGTGCTAATTGTTACTGTAGAACCAGATCAGGAGCAAGACACTGGGATTGTGGGCTTTCAAACCACTAAAGGGTTCTTCCTAAAATGCATTTATGTTTGAAAATTGGTGGGCACACGGGGGGGGGGGCACCAGAAGGTAGCCTCCCCTAGTGTGCAAAAAAACCTGGAGCCGGCCCTGTTTGCAGTCCTCCAGAAAAGCCACGAGGTGCCTTATATCTACGGGTGTGTGATCTCGTTCTAGAGCAATTCCTGCAAGTATATACATGAAAACAGTTTGTCTAATTGAGTTTGGCCGTGTCTTTGCTCATAAATGATTGCAGAAGGGAGGCTTTGGTGGTGCTAGGGGCGCTTCTCAAAGCTACCTCATATAGTGTGGTGAATCCATTCAGAACAGATCACCAGTCATCAGAATCGCGTCCGGAAAAGTCCAAGATAAGATTCGCACCAGGGGTTTTTCCTATCCACAGCTCAATCTTTTGCACAGCTTGTCCTACCGGCTTTCCTGGTATCGTTCTCCAAAGCCTTGCTAAATTCCTCCTGTCTACTGCCCCGAGAGTTTGTTGAGGAAATGGTCTTAGAAGATAATTACCTATCATTATGTCAGATTCCATTGGGGTAATTGTTGCAGTCAAGACAAGAAAGAAAGTCTTGTGCCTCGGAAAGACGAGCAGATTTATTGTGGCAGAAACTGGCCATTTGTGCATGTGTGTGTTAACACTTGTGTGAAAGGAAATAATCGTAAGCCGTCGATCCCAAAGGCTACGAGATGCAAGAGATCTGCAGGTATCCACGGGTAAAAGGTCTGCACAGCACTCATTGGCGGACATGTCTTCCTAAGAATACTGAGCTAATTTAAGACCTGCAGTCCGAGGGGAAACCATCGCCTCATTTAAGTCAAAGCCCTGTATGGTTTGGGATCAACATACCTAAAGGACCACCTGTTCCCTTCTGAGCCCGCCCGACCACCACAGTCCTCTTCTGGGGGGCCGGCTTCAGGTCTCCTTGGCCAGGGCTCTTTTTGTAGAAAAAGCCCAGCAGGAACTCATTAGCATAATAGGCCACACCCAACAGCAGGAACTCATTAGCATATTAGGTCACACCCCTGACAGCACAGCTCATTAGCATATTAGGCCGCACCCCCATGTTGCCAGAAGTGTGGTCATCCAGCCACACCCACCATTTGCTTCTTATTCTGTTTACCTTGTTTGTTGTCAAAACCCAGGGCCTTTTTTTGTAGCGGGAGCTCCTTTGCATGTTAGGCCACACACCCCTAATGTAGCCAATCCTAATGAATCCCTGCTGTTGGGTGTGGCCTATTATGCTAATGAGTTCCTGCTGGGCGTGGCCAACTCAGGAGCCAGCCAGAACTCCGTTCCTGTGCGTTCCTGCCCAAAAATAGCCCTGCTCCTTGCCATCTGAGATGAGGCGGCTGGCACACTGGGCTGGCAAAGAACAATACTGCACAGGAACCTGGAGGGTAAGATCTAGGAATCAAGGTAAGTTGGATGTGGTCAAAAATGAGATGGCAAGACTGAACATCGGCATCTTGGGACATCGGAATCAGAGGACGGCGGAAGACAGGAAGGCCTGGCGTGATGTGGTCCATGGGATCGCAAAGAGTCAGACTCGACTGTGCGACTGAACAACAACAACAACAACAAATGTGAGAGGAGACAGGAGCTCAGGGGGTGGTACAGGCAAGGATGATAATGATGATGATGACGATGATGATGAAGAAGATGATGATATTGGATTTATTGGATGTATACCTTGCCCTTCACTCAGAGTCTCAGAGCGGCTTACAATCTCCTTTCCCTTCCCCTCCCCACAACAGACTCCCTGTGAGGTGGGTGGGGCTGAGAAAGAGCTCTTTCCAGAACAGCCCTTGAGAGAACAGCTCTGACAGAACGATGGCTTGCCCAAGGTCATCCAGCAGCTGCAAGTGGAGGAGTGGGGAATCGGACCCGGTTCTCCCAGATTAGAGTCCCAGCACTTAACCACCACACCAAACTGGCTCTCATGACATAAGAATGTTACACAGTCGGGCGGTGGGGGGGCTCTTATCCTTCGGTACCTCTTTAAGCTGGTTCATCTTCTGCTCCTTCTGCAAGCCGCAGACTTGCTTCTGTAGGCGCAGGTTGTGTTCTTGCAGCTGCCCGATTTTCTCAATGAGCTGGCAGATGTGCTCCAGGTATCCCAGGCCCGAGCCCAGAGCCTTGGCGTTCCCTTGGTTCACCTGCAACGAGAACCCCACCCCACAGAAATTAGGGCACAGACGCAACCAGGAGCAGCAAGGGAAGGAGAAGGAATCGGAGCCGCTTAACGTGGCCCGGTTGAAACTAGCACAGTGGAGAGGAGCCCCGATTCAACAGGTAGGCTCAACTATCTATTGCAAAAGTCGTCCAGAGAGGTTCGACGTTTTTAATACAGTGCTCTGGGTGGCCCAGGAAGGGTGGCCAAACCCCTCCCCCGAGGGGGGCGGGGTTCCCCCCACGTTCCAGCCCCCCAACCCGCTGCCCGGCCGCCCACCAAAACAACCATTTTCTCCAGGGGAACTGATCTCTGCCATCTAGAAATCGGTTGTGCTTCCGGGAGATCTCCAGGCCCCACCTGGAGGCTGGCAACGCCACCATACCCTTAGCAAGGCCCTTTTCCTCACTGGCTGCCTTTGTCAAGTTTTATGTGGGTCCAAAACCAGGTAAGGGGGGGGGTGAGAGAAGGTTCTTTCTTAAAGTACATTGTAATGCACGTGTAAAACTTTCAAAACAAAAGAAAACAGCTCTAAAGATCATCTTGCACCAGGACAAAAGCCGGAAGCTCACCCGGGCTCCTTTCCCACCAGAGTTTGCATTTTTGCGGAAATGCCAACCGGTTGACTCTTTCCTGTGTTTCTGTTATTGGAGGGGCAGGCAGGGAAGCCCTTAACAGACCAGAAAGCTAAACAATACATGAGGATTTGAAGCAAAATGTCAAGACGCTCAAAGTTGACATGGCATTTATAAAAACTTTCGTACAGCCGAGAATTGCTTGGAATATAAACCTGGATCTCAAAATTCTTAGCAAACCAGTCACCTACGTCTAGACTGCCGTGGGAGATGGCCGACAGAAGGTTTAAGGGCACTTCTCACTCAAGTAGGAATCTGCTTTCCAGGAGACAAGCAGAGTTTCTGGACCAAGTTGAAAAGCCAAACAACAGAACAAATGATCCACATTCCATGACCAAAGTAATTTAGTGACAGAGCTACAAAAATCAAGAAGGAGCTGCGGTGGCTCAAGTGGTTAAGACGCTGAACTGCAGGCTGCGGAAGGTCGGTAGTTCGGCAGTTCGAGACCCGAGTGTGCCGCAAGACGGAGTGAGCTCCCGTCTCTAGTTCCAGCTCCTGCCAACCTAGCAGTTCGAAAGCAAGAAATTGCAAGTAGATCAATAGGTACCGCTTCGGTGGGAAGGGAACAGCATTCCGTGCGCCTTGGTGTTTAGTCATGCCGGCCACATGGCCACGGAAACGTCTTCAGACAGCGCTGGCTCTTCGGCTTGGAAACGGAGATGAGCACCACAACCCTAGAGTCGGACTCGACTGGCTTTCGAGCAAGGGAACCTTTACCTTTACCTTTACAAAAGGGCTGGCTCCACATATTCTACCATCCCTATTCATTTATTCCATTTTTAGCCCACATTTCTCCCCCCAAGGGGACCCAAAGAGGCTTACGTCCTTCTCCTCTCCTCCAATGTATAATCACAACAAGAACCCTGTGAGTGGCCCAAGGTCACCCAGCGAGCTTCCATGGCAGAACAAGGATTCGAACCTGGGTCTCCCAGATCCGAGTCCAACACTCTAACCACTACCCTAGACAGCTCAGGCTAGCCTGATCCCATCAGATCTCGGAAGTTGAGCAGGGCTAGCCTTGGCTAGTATTTGGAAGGGCGGCCTCCAAGGAATACCAGGGCTGCAACGCAGAGGCAGGTAATGGCCAAACCACCTCTGCTACATCTCTTGCCTTGAAAACAAGTCTAGCTCACCACCTAGTGGTGCATAACACTAAAAAAGCTAGCACTTCTGACTACCAGACAATCTTAGGACCTCTTGGCTATTCTACACACAATACCGTAAGACAATATTTAATTATTATTCCTCTAACCACTACGCCATGCAGGTCTAGAGGAAGGCAACGACTGGCGGTTTGGTGTAGTGGTGAAGTGCACGGACTCTAATCTGGGTGAACCGGGTTTGATTCCCCACTCCTCCACTTGCACCTGGCTGGATGACCTTGGGCAAGCCCTAGTTCTGACAAGAGCTGTACTTGAAAAAGAGCAGTTTCTGTCAGAGCTCTCTCAGCCCCACCCGCCTCACAGGGTGTCCGTTGTGGGGAGGGGAAGGGAAAGGAGTTTGTAAGCCGCTCTGAGACACCTTTGGGTAGTGAAGGACGGGGTATAAATCCAATCTCTTCTTCTTCTTCTTCTTCTTAAGTGCGCGGACTCTAATCTGGGAGAACCGGGTTTGATTCCCCACTCCTCCACTTGCACCTGCTGGATGACCTTGGGCAAGCCGTAGTTCTGATAAGAGCTGTCCTTGACAAAGAGCCGTTTCTGTCAAGAGCTCTCTCAGCCCCACCTCCCTCCCAGGGTGTCTGTTGTGGGGAGGGGAAGGGAAAGGAGTTTGTAAGCCGCTTTGAGACACCTTTGGGTAGTGAAGGGCGGAGTATAAATCCAATCTCTTCTCTTCTTCTTCTTCTTCCTTTCTGGCCTCCTGTTCCAAATGCCATGTTGTTGCCCCATGCCAGTGTAGCAACCCAAGCACTTACATGGGTTGCTTGGGTGGGAACTGATCCTGCTCTGATAACAGCAGATCCTGAGAGGGAGGGCAGGAAGGGCTGCATCAGTGCTCAGTTCTCGTGGCCCTTTCTTACACACCCAGGGAAATGCCGATCGCCACTTAGGGGGTCAGGAAGCAATTCTTCTCCAGGCCAGTTTGGCCAGGGATCCAGGAGGGGTTTTTGTCATCTTTTGGGTGTGGAGGGGAGGTATTTGTGAATTTCCTGCATTGTGCAGGGGGTTGGACTAGATGACTCTGGAGGTCCCTTCCAACTCTATTATTCTGTTTTTTATTCGGGACAGTGGAAACCACAGCAGGTTGCCAAGTACTCCAAGAGAATCTCTGCAAATTAAGTGAGCGGGAAAACAACATGGAGAATAATTGCAAAGTGTCTTCAGTCTATTGCACCAAAAATGAATGCGTGTCGAGTCTTTTAAGGGGCCGCAAGGTTCCCGTCCAGCACGGCAAACGAGGTTCAATAATGCAGGAAAGTATAGAGATGGACCCTGACAGAACTTCAGCTTTGCATACAGACACCAGGTTGGGAAATTCCTGGAGATTTGGGAGTCGAGCCAGGGGAGGGCAGGGTTTGGGGAGAGGAAGGAACTCCACAGGGTACGATGGCACAGAGCCCAACCTCCAAAGCCGCCTTTTTCTCCAGGGGAACTAAACGCTGCAGTCTGGAGATCAGTTGTGATTCCAGGAAATCTCCAGGCCCCACCTGGAGGCTGGTAACCCTAACTGATGGTGCCTGGCTTATACAGCTGACCGCAAAAGAGATCTTGAGGTTGTGGAAACGACAGCTCCGTCTGTGGCTGTGGTGAACAGGGAAGGTTCGATGCCAGGGATGAAGGGATTGGGATGGAAACAAAATGGGTGGGTGTCCAAAACGCCTTTAAAAAGAAAGCGCATACAGTTCCAGTCACCCCATCTAAAATAAAAAAAAGGATACTGTAAGCTGGGAAAAGGAGGTGCGGTGGCTCAAGTGGTTAATACACTGAACTGCAGGCTGTGGAAGGTCAGTAGTTCAGCAGTTCGAGACCCGAGTGTGCCGCATGACGGAGTGTTCCAGCTCCTGCCAACCTAGCAGTTCGAAAGCAAGAAATTGCAAGTAGATAAATAGGTACCACTTCACTGGGAAGGTAGCAGCGTTCCGTGCGCCTCGGTGTTTAGTCATGCCGGCCACATGACCACGGAAACGTCTTCGGACAGCGCTGGCTCTTCGGCTTGGAAACGGAGATGAGCACCGCAACCCTAGAGTCGGATTCGACTGGCTTTCGAGCAAGGGAACCTTTATCTTTACCTTTAAGCTGGGAAAGGTGCAAAAGAAGGATCAAGGGGTTGGAACGGTTTAGGAGGAAAGGCTCGGGGACCCCTGTGGCACACAGAGGTTTATAGAATGATGCACAGTGTGGAGAAAGCTCTTATCACGGCACGGTGTTTGCAGGAAGCAAGCTAGCAGACCTGCCCTGGTGTTCAGAAGGACCCGGAAGGGCCACCGGGCCGAATGTCCGTTCCACCGTCCTCTGGCCACATCTGGCCTTTGTGATTCTCGCCCCCCCCCGGCAAATCCGGAGGTGAAGAGGCCCCCCCTGTTCTTCCACCGCCCAGTCCTTGAGCTGAAACTATCCTTGTCCATCCTGACTGATGGCCGTATTCCTTATCGGGAGTCAGGCCGGTGTGTAATTTCATTTTTGACATACCTGAGGCCAAATGCAATTGATGTTGAGAGAACAGAATGTTTCTCTTGGGTAATCAGACAAGCCCGCTCCCGACTCACTTTAAGGCCACGGATTCTTCCAGGAATTCCTGTCCCGGTACGGAAAATGCCAAGGCTGCCCTCTTCAAAAATCAACTAGTGCATCAGGTTGCCAGCTCCAGGTTGGGAAATTCCTGGAGATTTGGGGGGTAGAGCCTGGGGCACGGCAGGTTTTGGGGAGGGGAGGAGCCTCAGTAGGGTATAAAGCCCTACGGCCAACCCTCCAAACAAGCCATTTGCTCCAGAGGAACTGAGCTCTGTAATCTGGACAGCAGGTGTAATTCTGGGAGAGCTCCAGGCCCTACTTGGAAGTTGTGGAAACTCGAACTGAAGTGTTAGAAGACCTTTTTTATAAGTTAAAGTGTTCTATACGTTCCATCTTATAAAGCGCATTGTGTATTATCCATAATAAAGGGCAGCCTTGAGAAAGACAGGAGCACTCAGTCTATGATTGTCAGCTGCTTAATGGGCCTTTTGTAGGACCAGCAACAAACATCAATTTAAACTTCAATGTAACCACAAAAGGAAACTTCCCCCTTTAGAAGACTTTCAAGCGAGGAGAAGCGGGTGTACAATTCTAGAAACTCCCGTTGGGGTTGATTGTGTAAAAAGGAGGTAAATTGACTGGTAGCTATTAGATTGTAAGGTAAAGGTAAAGGTAAAGGT